TGTGTGATGCTCCCTAGTTTTTGCTCATTTATTCTTTATTTTCCTCACAGTGGTGATTCTTCTGAGAGCATCTTGATAATTGGTTGTATAACTTTTGTCATTAAAAATATAAGTAATACAAATTGTATATATTGTGTATATGCACATGTAAGTGTATATATAGCTGGCCAGTTACGAATAAAGTATATCAAGTATAGTATATCAGTTATTTTTCTTGTTAAAAGGTGCCAAAGCATCTATAAAATTCAGATGTTTAATATTTCAGGGAATTTAGTTTATGTATGCCTTCCTCCCACCCCTTTCTCTCCCCCTCTCTAATCCTAACAACTAAAATTCGTAATTATAGCACTTTACATATTTGCCAAAGTAGTTTAAATGGGAATTTGTAAAGAAATTTATGTTTTGATTTTATGGTATGCTTCACATTCAACTAATATAAACTACCACTTTGTAACCTTAAGAGTAATGTGGCTCGTGGAATTTTTTTGTGATGTTTTTATAGCAACTATGTTAAGAATTTTTCCCTTTTATCCTTTTGAGTTATCCCATTTTCATTAAACTTGAGATATCATCAATGGTGAGACAGTCTACTATAGTCATGCACCGCAATAGGTTTTGGTCAGTGAAAGTAGTCCTATAAGATAATACTGCATTTTTACTGTACTTTTTCTGTATTTAGATATACAAATACTGTTGCGTTACAGTTGCCTACAGTATTCAGTACAATAACATGTTTGTAGGCTACATGTTTGTAGCCTAGGTGTATACTGGGCTATACCATTTAGGTTTGTATAAGTACACTCTAGGGTATTGGCACACTGAAATCACCTAGTGATGCATTTCTCAGAACATATCCCCATCATTAAACGACATATGGCTGTATTTCATGCACCCATAAGAAAGGAAAAAACCTAAAATGGGAAGTCTAAAAGACTCTGAGGATAAAGGGGACACCAAGGGCTATACCCTCCATGTGAAGCAAGAACTTTACCTACCATGCAAAAAGAGACAACAAATGTACTTTTGTTATTTGGAAGAGGGAGGGGGAAAATCACTTATAAGGATTTGAACCACAAGCCAATTGTCATAAGCTTGCAGGCTGGATTCCCCATTAGGTGTGGTATTAAAACAAACAAAAAAGAATAGACAACTTATTAGGTTAGTGCAAAAGTAATTGCGGTTTGGGACCCTGAATTTTAAATCATTATAACTAGATTCCTTTATTAATCAAAATAGGAACCATTACAATCAACACATTTTTGCCAACGAGAAATACGTTTGTTTATTCCTGTAGCTTAAAAATCCATGCTTTGGGATTTGACAAACTCTTGGAAAGCATTTTCTTTATCCTGCTGGTTGTAGAAGTGTTTTCCTTGCAAAAAGTTGTCGAAATACTTGAAGAAGTGGTAGTCGGTTGGTGAGAGGTCAGGTGAATATGGCAGATGAGGCAAAACAATTCGTTCAGCTTTTGAAGCGGTCAGTTGTTGTCGTGGAGAAGAATTGGGCCCTTTCTGTTGACCAGTGCCAGTTGCAGGCATTGCAGTTTTCGGTGCATCTCATCAATTTGCTGAGCATACTTCTCAGATGTAATGGTTTTGTCAGGATTCAGAAAGCTGTAGTGGAACAGACCACCAGCAGACTAGCAAACAGTCACTATGACTTTTTTTGGTGCAAATTTGGCTTTGGGAAGTGCTTTGGAGCTGCTTCTTGGTCCAACTACTGAGCTGGTCATGTCAGGTTGTCGTATTGAGAAATGGTTCTTCATTGTTGCATACAAGAAGAGAAGATGACACTTCAAAATGGGGTGCACCCACTTACTGAGCCTTTCACTTTTCTAATTTGCTTCAAATGCTGAACAACTGTAGAATGGTCAACCTTGAGTTCTTTAGCAATTTCTCATGTAGTTTTAATTTTAAGAGGATCAGCTTTGATGATTGCTCTCAATTGGTCATTATTAACTTCTGGTTGTCAACTTCTAACTTCCATGGCTGGCCACTGCACTTTTCATCTTTAAGGCTCTTGTCTCCTTTACAAAACTTCTTGAACCTCCACTGCACTGTAAGCAGTGTAAGCACTGCACCACTGTAAGCAATTCCTGGGCCAAATGTGTTGTTGATGTTGCGAGTTGTCTCTGCTGCTTTGTGATCTCAAATAAGAAAATCACTCTGATTTGCTTTTTGTCTAACATCAATAATTTCCATACTGTTAAATATAAAATAAACAGCAAGTAATAAGTCATTAGCAAAAATCCTAAGGTGAAAAATGTGCATTAACATAACCACATTTATTTAAGAATGCATTCCAATATCAAATGCCAGATTTCAGCAATGCTAAAACCGCAGTTACTTTTGCACCAGCCTAATAGAAAAGAATCTGATCTCAGATTTGTGATGCTGCCAAGTAACAGGCATAAGTCAACACAAATTCTCTGAAAGAAAGCAGCTTTAAAGAGAGGGATTGAAAATCTATCCTAGAATTTATGGAAAATGGAAATCTTCATAACATTTCCACGGAGTAGATTCTTTAGGTTTTCTGTGATGCTGAAGCCTCTGAAGGAGCTCTAAATTTGTCAAATTCTTATAATAGCTTTTCATACAAATATATAATATTTTGCATATTTATGTTTTTGTTCTTTGGTTTCGTGTTAACAATGTCACAGCTTTGTTTTAAATTGTATTAATGGTTTATTTACTTTTAGAATTTTCAGTTATCCATGATTTAAGACTTGTAGATGAGTTTCAGGTAAAACAAGCTTTAACTAGTTGCCACCCCCTCAGAATTTACTAAGATAATGAAGAAGAATGTAGCTTTTTATTTGACAATAAATTTCATTCCATAACCAATACCATGATTTCCATTCTCTAAAGGAACATTTTTGAGATGTTTAAAAATTTGAGGTACGAGGAGGATAGAGAACTATGGTAAAGCACTGTATGTTCTTTAATGATTTTCAAATATCGTTTCCTATAATTCTCATAAGCCTAGTGTAGTAAACTCTTATTACATATAGGGGTTTTTGTGGCTTTTTTTTTTAAACAGGATTTGTTTTTTTTTTTTTTGAGACAGAGTCTCACTTTGTTGCCTAGGCTAGAGTGAGTGCCGTGGCGTCAGCATAGCTCACAGCAACCTCAGACTCCTGGGCTCAAGCGATCCTTCTGTCTCAGCCTCCCAAGTAGCTGGGACTACAGGCATGCGCCACCATGCCCGGCTAATTTTTTTTTTTTCTATATATATTAGTTGGCCAATTAGTTTCTTTCTATTTATAGTAGAGACGGGGTCTCGCTCTTGCTCAGGCTGGTTTTGAACTCCCGACCTCGAGCAATCCGCCCGCCTCGGCCTCCCAGAGTGCTAGGATTACAGGCGTGAGCCACCGCGCCCGGCCCTTAACAGGATTTGGTCTTTGTGTGTGTCAAAATGTTTCAGTTTGAAATTAAGATTCATTTGTATAGCCTGCTGTTAACCTGAGGAAATGTTCTATTGCATGGAGATTTTACCCTACTTTTAAAATTTTAATTCTTATGAAAAATTACTTTGATTTGTTTTTCTCTTAAGTTTTCAAACTTTGATTTCCCAGTTTAGCTTAGAATTCCAGTTTTGGATATGTTACTAGCTTTTGATTTTTTTATATAAGCCATTTTAAGGATTAGGCTGTTTCTCTTTTGCCCACCCTGCTTCTGGGTTGCTTTCCCCCATAATCACTTACCTGATTCAACTTACTTTGCATTAGCTTAAAGCAAAATTAGTTGTGAGAATATATCTGTTGGGTGAGATATATGGGCTAGGAGCAAGCCTAGTTCTTTCTAATTTGATTGTTATATTATTTTTCACTTGTTAAGTTATTTCTCTGGTTTTTTTAGTCTGGATGATGGAGGCTTGTCAGTGCTTCTATTTCAAATTCTGTACCTTTTTTTAAACATTATTTTGAGCATGCTTCAGGTAGGCTATCACATTCTTCTACGCAAACTTTATGTCAACAAGTTCTTGATTAACATGTATAAACAAATTTATTGGTTGTTTTTAATCCATTAACTCCATGCTACTTCCTTTTAGTAGGTTCTTCAGCTTCGTTTTGCTTCATGAGTTGATTTTCACAAATAATAAGATTCAGCGCATGAATGTTCTTATCTACCTTTAGTAGGCTTTAATGTTTATGTTACTCCTGACCAAATGCTTATTTCTTTTCTTTTTTTCCTATTTCTCAAATTATTTAATTTGAAACTGTTGAATAATTACATTGTTCCTTCCTATGATTATTGTATGTATTTTCCCCCTCCCAGTTTCAGTAGATCCTTTTGATGTTCATATTAAAATCAGAATTGTAATGTGGAATTATACTAATATAGATGAGCATTAGGTCACATCCTTAGGAAATTTATGTTAATCTTCATGATTTGTATTTTCACTTAGTAGAATTAATTCATAGATTTGAATGGCAGTCATTGGTAAACTAGATTGAGTTTCCAAACTAATATCTTCAGACATGTATGTATGTGCCTTAAGTTCTCCGTAGGAGAGAGAATAGATGATTGGGGGTTTAAAAGTTTGTTTTCTTGTATTTTTTTAAAGTCACTGTTTGGATATTAAACACCTTTGATCTAGGATTTTGAAAGAGAACAGATTGTTGTAAAATTTATTCAATATAGATATTAAAAGTCAAAGGTGAAAAATACTGAAAAATTTTTATCTTAAATTCTCTTACTCCAAACAAGGGAGGAAAACATAAGTGTTAGATTAATGCTAAAAGAAAATTGATTTTCTTAAGTTTAGGCTAGAAATAACATAATAGTTCAAACTTTTTAAATTTGAACTATACATATAAACTGTGACATAAGTATTAAAATAGATTATTGAAAAAGTACTTCATTCATTCAACAAGCACTTACTAAGCATACTGTCCATGTAGTATAGTGTTCAGTGGTTTTTAATCTTAAGTTATATGATTTTTAAAGTCATTAAATACTTTGGTCTTATAAAGTAACCTTTTTTTACTTTTGTTTTAGATGCCTGGAATGATGTCTTCAGTAATGCCTGGAATGATGATGTCTCATATGTCTCAGGCATCCATGCAGCCTGCCTTACCGGTAATCATGTGAAAATAAGTATTTTCTGTGCTGCTTTGACTGATTACTTAATTTATATATGAAATAATATATATGTATTTTTCATTCAGTTGTGTTAACCTTTTAAGTGCTGCTGAAGTCCTGTAATGTAATATGAGAATTACAGTGGACTTTTAGTTTCTGTAACTTGAATGATAGGCATTTACCTTTTTTCTATATTAATATTATAATAAATGTACATTCTTAGTTCTTAAGCTAATTCCACATTAAATAAGACCAGACTATCAAAAACCATAATTTGTGAGCCAGAAGGATTTTTCATTTTAATTTTAAAGTGTAGACACTTGCTTTATTGAGTGCTAATGAAAAGTTGATAGAATGTGATTTAATACTAGATTTTGAAATCCACATTTTATGAGACCTCAGCTATGACAAATTAGAAAAATCCTTAAACAGCTTTACTACCCCGCTAGCAATATATGTTGGTATAGTAGTATAGCAATATATAAGTTAGTATGATATTCAAATTAGTTTAAATTCTTTACAACCACTAGTAGGTTATCAGGTAATAGTGAACATGTGTGGCATACTCCCTTGGGGGGTGGTGGTAAGTTTTCAGTGTCTTATCTGAAATCCTTAAGGCCAGATATATTTCAGAATTATTTCTAATATTGGAAAGTAACACATTGTACATTCTATGTCTTATTTCATAATTTCCTGTGGGGTCTAGAAAATGTTAATTTCTAACATATTAATGTTTCTACAGCAAACCTAATGGACAATTACTCTGAGGTGTGATAAATAAACATTGTAAAGACTTCATGTTCATTCTGAGTAGATTTTGGGGCCATACTTGAAAAAAACTTGTTTTTCAGAGCTTTTTGGGTTTTCAAATTATGGGTAAAGGGTTGTGGATCTGTGTATTCTTGGTGACCATATAGCACCTAAATGAAAGTGCTTAAGAAGCCCCAGATTTCTGATCCCTTTTACAAGTTATAATCAGCTCAGGGAACTGAGACCACTAAAACTTTTGTTAAGAATCTTTGAGTCACTGGCTTGAGAATTATCCATAAAAAAGAGATTGGTTTCACTGTGCTTTGTGAGGACTTTATGTAAAATATAGTTTTAACAATGTGAATATTACTAATTTCATTTTTCTTCTTACAGCCAGGTGTAAATAGCATGGATGTAGCTGGAGGTATGTACACTATATATGATGGTATGTATTATACTTCATTTGGGGAGTAGCAGCCCTATTATAATGAGTAATAAAAGCAGTGTCTTCTTTGGCTTTATAATCACCTCCTGATATTTCTTTCTTGATCATAGTTTTAGGTCAGAGGTTCTAGACCACATTTGATCTGCAGATAAACTTTGGCTTACACAATGTTTTGAAATTTTGTATTATAATTATTGCTAACATTTAAAGTCTGCAGGTTTTATATAAAGTTTGAATTTATCTTGCCAAGTTGTTAGTGCTCAGTCCTGTTGACACAGTAGGTGTTCAGAGAACATTTGTTAAATGAATGAACTCTGGTTAAGTTCATGTTTATACTTAGCAAACATAGGAAAGGGATAGTGGCTCCTTACTTTAAATGTGGAGTATGCAGTCCCCATGGCCTTCTGGACTACTTCACATTCATTTCTTTGTCATCTCATGGCCCTTGTGGTTATTGGAGTTTGTCCCCTGTCACAATTTTTTTTCTCATTATTTACCAATAACTGGCCATTTTAACTGGCTTTGATATATAATAGTAATGCCTCCATTATTCATGAATAGTTTTCCACATAAATTAATATTCCAGATGCTGAAATTTATTCTGTGATTGTACCAAAACATATTTTGTTTTAAACATTATTGGTTGAAAGATATTTGAAACATACTGTGTGCTTCCCTGCAGGTTTATATGTGACATGATTGGTCTTTTTAAGATGTTTCACAGATTTCATTATATATTCAAATGAAAATGATGTTCTGAAAATACTTACTGCAGTTTTTTTTTCTTAGCTATCTAGAGCTGGGTACTATTAACCCTAGTAATTCTGGAAAATTATATTAAATTTTCTTTTTAATTACTTTTAAAATGTGTTGGCTCTACTATTGATGTCCATAGTAGCTGCTTCTGAGTACATTCAGTATATATGAACTTTGTTTTGTTTTGCATACAATCTTTGTTTTCTTTTTACATACAGTTTTCTGTTACTAGTTTCTAAAGTTAAACATTATTAGTATGAGTTTTATGACTAAGGTGCATTTCAAAGATCCTTAAGAGGTTTTCTGTAGTTGTATAAGGCAGCACCATCTAATACAGGGGTCCTCAAACTTTTTAAACAGGGGGCCAGTTCACTGTCCCTCAGACCGTTGGAGAGTGCGCACTGTGGGCCCTGGAACAGGTCCGCTGCTAAGCAGGACAGACAACGGCGGCAAAAACACAAGGAGGGCAGGATAAATGTGCTAGGCGGCCCGCATGTGGCCCGCAGCTGTAGTTTGAGGACGCCTGATCTAATATAACTTTCTGCAGTGTTGGAAATGTTCTGTAATCTGTACTGTCAAGCGTAGTAGTCACTAGCCACATGTAGTTATTATTTGAATTGTGGCTAGTACAACTGAAGAACTGAATTTTTAAAAATTTAATCTTAATTTAAAATTTTAATTTAAGCAGGGATGTGTGGTGGCTAAGGTCTACTGTATTATACAGCACAAGCCTGGAATCTAGATAGTTGTAGTTACCACAAATCTAAAGCCGGAGGATCAGAGGTCAGAGGCATTATTGTTCTTTGGTGTTATATATAGCAGAGGAAGAGGAATTAGACAAGATAGACACCCATGATAGCAAGAAGAGAAACCAAAGGCAAAGATGAATACGTTTCAAACTGGCTCCAAGTGGGTTTGTAGATTGAACATTCAAATTCTGAAAGTGCTTTGCACTGTAGATGTTTCTTTTGTGGGAAATAGAGCAGGCACTTAAGTCATATGGGACAATCTCAGGATTGTTAGTGAGAGAGGAAGAAATAGTATGAATAAATATTAAAACTTTTTTTTTTCTTTTTTAGGTACATCTGGTGCAGTGAGTACTCTTTAAACTTCTAGTGTATTTATTTCATTATACTTATCCTTATTTTTATTCTAAGAATTATCTGCTAATTTAATCCTTACATTAATCTTCAGTTTTCCCTTTCTATGCCAATGGGTGAAAATTTGATTTATTTTGAAATATAATTTTGATGGGGTTAATGAGAGGAATGGGAATTATATGTATCAGTTTTTACAAGGATTTGATTTCTCTCCATTACACTTAAAAAGGAAGCAGAACTTATAGGTGCATAGTAGTTAACCTGGTAATTGTTACTAAGCACTGCATTAGAAGATGCTATTTTTTATATAGAAAAATTTATGTACCCATTTTCAACACTGCAAACCTAATGTAGAATTTTTTAATATGTAGTAATTTTAAGAAACACTTTTTGCCATACCTTCCCTAATACTACGTTAGAAAGAAAAATGGCATGTTCAGAATTGCTTTGATATTTCTTTAGGAAGGGAGAGAATGATATTATAAGGTAGTCTTTCCCCTTTTGCTCATGCTTCTATGTATGATACTCTGTTAAACATTTTTATACCGTCCCATGTTTTAGAAAAACAATGTTAATCCTATGTCCCCACTTAAAGATGGCCATTTTATGCTTATTAATATTATCTCATTTTTTTAGCCTAAAATATTTTTTTTGTGGTTTGTTTTTAGCTGTTCTTTAAAGATCAACAAAAGGAAGAGTTTATGTGTATAATCTCTTATAATCATAGCAACATTCTGAGAGATGGTAGTTATCCCACTGTTGTGGTTGAGGAAAGACAGGCATCTTTGAACTGATTATATATATATATATATGTTAATAAATTAAATTTGAGGGGAAAAATTTCAAATTGAGAACCTCATTTAAATGTTTTTGAAACATTTGTGTATCTTTTGTGTTAGAAGTTGAATGATTACAAAATATCCATCTGATATTCTTCTATTGTAATACGTACCTGCTTTTGAAAAAGGATAGCTTCATGTTTTTCCTGCTTATTTAAGCAATGGTTTATTGGGAGGAAAATGAAGCAGACGTAAATTATGAAGAAGATAGTAAAATTCACACTTAATTTTTCGACCATGAGTGACCTACCAGTGAAATTTTGCTGATAATCTTTTCGGATATGTTATTTAAGCATAAAGAAATGTGTGTGTGTGTGTGTGTGTGTGTGTGTATACATCTTTTTACATAATTGGGTCATATTATATGTGCTTTTAAATTATCTGTAAATATATTTTTGTATTTTGTTTTTCTCTTTTAAAAGTTAATTGTGAAAAATCTGTGTAAGTTCCCCAACGTAGATGTAATATCAGTAGTTTAAATGACTTCCTAAAGTATTCTTTAGCATCGAGACACACGAATTTACTTAACCATTCACCATTTTTATCACTTTTACCAAGTGATAAAAATTCAGTTTATTTCTAGGGTCTCACCCTTCCCCAAATATAAGCAATCAGTCTTTCTAAGAAAGATTACAGGAGTAAAGCTTCTGGGATGGAGAGTAGGTACCTATGTTGTTTTTCAAGAAGAATATAAAATGAACATTTCTAATAGTACTGTAGTAGCATTTCCTTTTCTCTAAGAATCTCTCGTAGCAATAGCCCAGTATCACTTGTTTGTTTAATGACAGCATGGATTTGAAGTGATAGTTCTTATTTAACTTCTCATGAGATTTAACATTTTATTTGCTATTTGGGTTTCTCTTCTGTTAATCTATCTCCATCCTGTCCTGTTTTTCTGTTGGACTATTCTTTTGTTTGTTCCTTACCACTTAAGAATTCTTTAAATGTTACAGATATTAATCCTTTATTAGTCATGAATTTCAAATATTTTTCCTAGTCTGTCATTTGTTGATTTTTGCTTTTGATATTACTTGCTACACCATTTTTTATTTTAATGTAGTCACATATGGTTATCCTTGTTTTCTTACTTTAACTTTTGATGAATTATTTTTTAAACATTTTTTTTTATTTTAGCATATTATGGGGGTACAAGTGTTAAGGTTACTTATATTGCCCATGTATTTTTTAAACATTTAAATATCCCTCTGTTTTAGTGTTTTCAGCTTTGATTTTACTCTTGACCTGAATTTGCTTTTTTTCCCCACTGTTGTTTGAGACAGAATCTTGCCCTGTTGTCCTTGCTAGTGTGTAGTGACATCATCATCATGTTAATAGCTCACTGCTACCTCCAACTCCTGGGCTCAAGCAATTCTTCTGCTTCAGCCTCCTTATTAGCTGGGACTACAGGCATGCACCCACATGCCAGGCTAATATTTCTACTTGTACTTTTGTTCAGGCTAGTCTCAAACTCCTGGTCTCCTAAAGTGCTAGGATTGTAAGTGTGAGCCACTATACCCAGCCTTGGTTATCCTTTCTAGCTTTTGAGTATCTTGAAATTTTATAAGGGTATCTTCATCCCTTGTGCTGCTCATAAAGTTTCCTGTATTTTCTTAGAAGATTTTTATACCATTAAGTGTTTGATTCATCTGGAATGTCTGTAAGATAGATAAGCAGTTGTGTCAGGTGTCTTATCAAAGCATTTTTTCTCACTTAATTGAAATTTCTTTTTTGTCATATACTAAATTCTCATGTATTCTAGCATCTATTTCTGGGTTTCCTTTTCCACTGTTTATTTCTATTTGTATATTTCTAATCTAGCATTAATATTTTTTTCAGTTAGGGTGGCTTTAATATTTATTTAATAAGGCAAGTGTTTAATTCCTTCTGAATTCAGTTTGCTATTATCTTATGTAGGTTGGTTGTGTCTGGGCAATAACCCCTATCTTTCTATTCCTTAGAACAACTTGAATAAATAAGGATTAGCTTACTTATTAACAGCTTGATAGAGCAGAACTAAAAACTGTCTGGACTAATACTTTTTGAGGATAGAGGTTTTGGATTATCATTTCAATTTCTTTAGTGGTTATTGATCTCTTCTACTTTTAAGTTCTAATTTTTGTCTTTCTAGAAATTATCTCTTTCATTGGCGTTTTCTAATTATTTAGCATAGCATTAAAAATCATAATAGCTCTCATTATTTTTTGTGTGGGGGGAATTTCAGTTTCTTTCTGCTATTGTCTTTATTTCCTTCTTGGTTACTTTTTGCTCTTTTTTTTTAAGCTTCTAGTACAAATTTAACTATCTAAGTTTTGATATACAGAGTTTTCATTGTCATTTTGCTCTAATGATTGTGTTTTCTTTTTCCTCCATTGGATTTCTTTATTAAAAGGTTATTAAGTGGTATGTTTTTCTTGGTTTACAGATAGGGGACTTTTTTAAAAAATAGACTTTATTAGAACAGTTTTAGACATACAGCAAAACTGAGTGGAAAGTACAGAGCTTGCCCCATATAACTTAGAGTCCCTCTCCCACTATTTAACATCTTACAGCATATTGGTACATATGGTACAACTGATGAGTATACACTGACATATTATCACCCAGTGTCCAGTTAACATTAGGATTCACTTTTATACATTCTGTGTATTTTGACAAATATTAAATGAACTCGTATGTATCCACTATTCTGATAGCATGCAACATAGTTTCATTGCCCTAAAAATCTTCTGTGCTTTAAACCTATTCACCTATTCTGTGTCCATATATTTGTCTTTTTCAGAATTTCATATAGTTGGAATTACATAGTGTGTAGCCTTTTCAGATTGGTTTCTTTCAGCAATGTGCATTTAAGGTTTCTTTATTGTCTTTTCATGGCTTGATAGCTCATTTCTTTTTAGCACTGAATAATATTCCATTGTCTGAATGTACTACATTTTATTTATCCATTCACATACCAATGGACATTTTGGTTGCTTCCAAGATTAGACAATTATGAATAAACCTGCTTTGAACATCCACTCACTGATTTTTGTGTGGACATAAGTTTTTAACTCATTTGGGTAAATACCACAGAGCATGATTACTGCATTGTATGGTAAGAGTATATTTGGTTTTGTAAGAAACTGCCAAACTGTCTTCCTGAGTGGCTGTACCATTTGGAATTGCTAACGGCTGTGAATGAGAGTTCCTGTTGTGCCATATCCTCACTAGCATTTTGTGTTATCAGTGTTTTGGGTTTTTGCCGTTTTAATAGGTGTATACTAGTCGTATCTTGTTTATGTATGATGTGGAGCATCTTTCCATTTCCTATATGTATGTCTTTGATGAAGTGTTTGTTCAGATCTTTTGCCTATTTTTCAATTGGGTGGTTCATTTTCTTATTGTTGAGTTTTAAGAATTACTATATATTTCGGATAACAGTCTATCAGATATGTCTTTTGTAAATATTTTCTCCCAATCTGTGGCTTATCTTCTTATTCTTTTGACAGTGTCTTGCAGAGTAGAAATTTTTAATTTTAATGAAAATTGCATGTTATTTCAGCCTATCAATTATTTTTTCCATGGATTGTACCTTTGGGAAGTATTTTTTATAAGCCATACTTCTCCGTTATGATCAGACAGCACAGTCTGTAAGATTCTTTGGAGTTTATCAAAGATTCATTTATGTTCTTGTTCAAGGCTAATTTTTAGGAATATTCTGTATGCTATTTATTTAAGGTTATTTTGTTAGTTATTTTAGGTTATTCCTTTATCATGGCTTATCGTCAGTCATCTGCTTGGGTCTAAGAAGATGGTGTATTTAAGATCTTTAACTAGAAAAGATAAGTCATCTGTTTCTACCCGTATTTTCTTGTTGTTTCTGTGTGCATTTCAAGGCTAAATTGCCCTCTGCATATGTTTTCAGGATAAGTTTTTGATCTGTTACCTTTTACTGGGATACAGTATCCCTCTTTCATTTGCATTATGGTTTCTGCTTTAAATTATGTTTAGGTGGAATAGACAGCTATCCTAGATATTTTTATTTCTATTTGCCTTGTAAAATCTTGTTACATTGTGAGTAAGCTACTTTTCCCGTTTTTATTTTGAGATACTTATTGCCTAGTCAAAGAATTTTATCTTATAACCAGCTGTATTACCAGATTCTCTTATTAATTTAGAATAGCTTTTTATTAAAACTAGATTTCACTTGGATTTTATATGTATAAAAATAGCAGTAAAGGCAAGGGAACTATTTCTTCCCCCAAATTTATGCTGGTCATTTCTTTTTATTGCCATGGTATATTTGCTAGCATTTTAGTGATTGCAGAGGCATGTTTTGTTCATGATTTTTTTTTTCTTTCTTTCACTTTTTTTTTTTTTTTCTTTTTTACCATCACAGTTCACTGTAACCTTAAACTTCCAGGCTTGAGCAATCCTCCTGGCTTCATTCCCCCAAGCAGCTAGGTCTCCAGGAGCATAGCACCTTGCCGAGCTAATTTTGTTTGTTTGTTTTTTAACTTTTTGTATAGATGAGGTCTCACTGTGTTGCTCAGGGTGGTCTGGAACTCCTGGCTCAAGCAATCCTCCTGCTTCAGCCTCCCAAATTGCTGGGATTACAGGCATGATCTACCACCACTGGCCTGTTCATGATTTTAATGGAAGTGGCTTTAGAGTGACATTTGTTTTTACTAAATTGCCTTTTCTCATTTAGTGTTTTTCTTTTTATTTAAGCATTTTTGCTTTTATTTATTTTTGAATACTTGGGAACTCATGGTTTTCAGGATATGATTTGATCATACCAAGTTTAATAGTCCAGCCTTGTTTTTTCTTCATTTGATTTTTAATAGAAATAATTTCTTTTGAAAATTTCTCAATATTGAACCACTCTTGCACTTCTGCAGTAAATTTTGCTTTGTCAAACTGTATACATTGCAAGATTTTATTTGGTAATATTTATTTAAATAGTTACATTTAACTTTATGCTGCTTTTCTTTTTTGGTACATCTTCTATTGGGTTTTTTGTTTGTTTTGAGGCAGTCATGCTCTCTCGTCCCTGGTAGAGTGCAGTGGCATCATCACAGCTCACTGCAACCTCATACTCTTGGGCTCAAGCGATCCTCTTGCCTCAGCCTCCTAAGTAACTGGGACTACAGGCACGCACCATGACACCTGCCTAATTTTTCTGTGTTTGGTAGAGACGGAGTCTTGCTCTTGCTCAGTCTGGTCTCGAACTTTGGAGCTCAAGCAGTCCTCCCACCTCAGCCTCCAAGAGCCCTGGGATTACAGGTGTGAGCCACCGTGCCTGGCCGAGTCTTTTTAATTAATAGAGAGCTTTTTATCTTTTTTCACAATGTGAAATAATATAACATTACAATTCACTGTACTTTAAAGGTTATATAATATTCTACTGTAAAGCCATCTGTTTGGGTATCTTTCAGTTGTTCCTATAGTACTTGGAATATTCGAGTGTGACGTGCTTGTACTGGAGTGAATTTTGATAAAGTATTTTGCTTGGAAATCATTTCCTGTAGGTTGTGAAATTGTTGTAAATCTATGTGTCATTGTGTTCTTCCTCAATTCTAATCTTAATTTTTGGCTTTTTCTTGTTTTTTCTATTTAGGGTAGCGAGGAGATTTTTCTGTGTATTTAGTTTGGATTTGGCCATTTTTTCTCTTTCAGTTTCATGAAATTCAGCTTAGACATTGTATAAACACATATGCTACATATGTTACATACATCAAGTTGAATTTGAGAGTATTTACAGCTCTCTGTTGACTAGCTTTTTCCTATCTTTTTCTGAATCTGATAAGCATGTTAGCATTCTTGGTATAATTAAACTTGACTTTCTTAGATATTGTTCATTATATTGCAAATAGAATATGTTGATAGTATGAATGGACCATATTGATCTTTTCCTGTGGGTAGATATGAGTTAACTAATTTTTCACCATTGTAAGTAGAGAACATCTTCATACATGACATGTTTGAAGTAATATCAGTGATACTTTTTGAGGTAAAATTTCAGGATCAAGAGATAATATTTGCATTTTTAATATTGATACGAACTGCTAAACTGCCTTTCAAAGAATTTATACTGATTTCATTTCCAACAGTAGCATAAGAGAGTACCCTTTTTCTCATACCCTTTTAACATTGTTAACAGTCTTTGTCAATCATCTGATGAGCTAAAAGTTTCATTTAGTGTGTGCTTCTTTGATTTGCTAATGAAGTTGATCCTCTTATTATCTGCACTGTATTCTGTTTATAGCCATATTTTTTATTAGTTTATCTTTTGATGGTAGCAGATTTTTGGATATTAAGGATAATGATATTTTTGTCCTTTATTTTGCAAATGTACTACCATTTATCCTCTGTTTTAAAAAGTTTTTATTAATTTCCCATAACTGCCATTTCATGTCTGATTTTTTTATTACCACAATAACTATGTTGGTAACAAAATAATTGTGGTCCTTAGAAGCAAATATGACTAGTTGTTTTAGTGTCATTTTATGAGTCCCTGTGAGCAAGTTATAAATCCTCCTAGAGGTTGTTCTTTTTAATCTATAGAATAGAGTGCTTATACCTGTGTTATAGTGTAGTGAGGGTTAAATCATGTAATAGGTAGTGAATATTAAGTTGATTGCTATTTGGTTTTTTAGCTTGTATGTCTCCTCTCGTTCCCCATTATTTGGTTGACCATATACTGCCCCTTTCTTTTTTGTTTAGTTATCTCATAAATTCTTGTAAACTTCCTCTTTTCTTGATGTACCCATTAGCACATATGATTTGGGAAGTTTAGATATAGTTTTGGTAATTATGGTAGACCTCTGTTTAGGTAGTGTGATTTTGAGATGCTACTGGGTTCATTACATTTTTTTTTTTTAAAAAGGATAAATACAAATACCTTTATCTTAGCACTATTTAATTTATTAAATATCTGTACAGTTGAAGTTTATGTACTTTTAATTTCATTGCTTCAGAGATAGTACAATTATCCAGTACAAGTTGCTAGAATAAGTTAAAGAATTTAACATACCTTTGGAATTATCTAATTATCCTGCTACATTATGCAGAAATCCATTCTGTAAATAGTCATGTCTGATAACTTATCTCACTATAGGAAGAGCCAATCACATTATCAAACAGCTCAAATTTTATAGTTATTTCTTTGGATTCTAGTAGCCATGTATAATTCCTTTACATTATTAACACTAGTTCTCTTTTCAGAGGTATAGAAAATAAGCATCTTAATTATTCAAATCACATTGATTTATATTCAAGTCACATTTTCTTGGCTCTCCATCCCCAAACTTTGCAGGTATTCCTTCAGTCAGCTAATTTTCAATTAGCTTATTTCATTTCACCTTTTAAAATCTGAAATTGGAGTATATTCTATAACCCATTATGTCTTATGACCTCCATTGTCCAGGTGGCAATTATGGCTTGTCTGTATATGAGTGAACAACAAAAGTGCCAATATCAAAAGAATGTATGTCAGTGGTTTGGAAGAAAATGCTAAAAGTGATGGTATAGTACTCTGTTATCAGCTAGGAATAAAATTATAGCCCCCAAAATTGGAAAAGCAATGAATCACATGTGTTCAGCCACATTCCCAAAGCAGAAATCAAAAGTAGGTCAGCTCTTTCTCAGTGAAGTTGATAAGGAAAAAAGAAAGTTAGATGAGCTTTAAATAAGTACAAAAGAAGGTTAAGAACCAGTTTTTAGTGGTTTTCACTTCCTTTATAATTTTTTAAAGAAATACTACACTACCAATATTCTTGATGCCTCAGAGGGTGTATTATTTGGAATATAATGAACATCAGCAACTCTGATACAAAAAGTAGTCTCATTGTGAAGAGGACTATCTTAACTACCTTATTTTTCTCAAAAGTGATATGTGATAAAATCATTGTCTAAGAATAAATCTTTCGATAAGTTTGAAGTAAAATCTGAGTGGTAAAAAAACATGTGAAAGTTAAATAGTCTTATGTCTTAGATTTGAAGAAATGTGGTGGTATAGATTGTCTTTGTAACCCTTCTTCAAGCATAGTTAAGTTTGTTATCATCTGAAATATCTGGTGACCTCAATTGGATTCACTACCTTTGATGTCATCCGGTAATTACCTTTGCAGCATCATGTCTATTGATCCCTGAGATTTCTTTAGCAACTTTTAGTCGGTTCTTAGTATGTTCTCTTGGACCTTTGGAGTAGATTTGTATTCTATATCAAACTAGTTTCATTCACATAAAATTTTATCTCACCTATCCTATTTTGAAGCATTTGGATTAACATTTTATCCCTTTTAAATTTCATCTTGTTGATAAATTCTGATTGCCATCCAAAAGCTGTCTCTTCAAGTTTTGATAGCTGTGTCTTTATAGTATATCATTTTAGAACTTTGTCCAATTTGATATAAATATTCTTTGTACTAGAGTAGATGAACATATAATCAGTTCATCTATATTAGGACCTAGTTCATACATTTTTTCATCTACTAGGCATGCATTTCTATTCTGAAAGATTGTCTTACATACGTAAGTTACAGAGTTACTGTTCTTACTGTAATTCTGAGAGAAATCTTAAACCTTGAATTGATCTACACTGCTCTTAAAGTACTTTAGGTAAAAATATTCCATTTTTCAGTTCTCTGCCTACTTGCATGGATAAATTATTCTAGAAGACTTTAACTGTCAAAACATGCTCATTTTATATTTAATTGATTTCCTTATGTTGATATAAATCTATTGGTATTCACTTTCAGTAACATTGTTACATAATTTTTATCTTTTTGTTATTTTTATTCTTTAGAAATCAATGTGGACTGAACATAAATCACCTGATGGAAGGACTTACTACTATAATACTGAAACAAAACAATCTACTTGGGAGAAACCAGATGATCTTAAAACACCTGCTGAGGTAAAAGTTTGAGGACTAGAAATCAGGGACTGTTTAGTAGATAGGGCATATTTTATTTCATTCCATGTTGTAAATTTTACTATTTAAAATATATAGATATGGAAGTTAAAGTTGAAGGAATAAACTGAGTTAAGCAATATTGCATGTGGTTTAATTAGAAATTCTGGGATGCTAAGTAAGAGTTTACATGGCACTCCATGCTATGCTTTAAGTTGCTTCTTAGCTGGTAGTATACCTTTTTGTTTTCTTCTTATTTAAGGAATTTGAGAAAAGATAAAAGTATTTTCCAGGCTAACACACTATATGCACAGCAATGCTTGGGAGGGGAGGTTGGTAGATATGTTTTTTATTTATCCCAGTACTGACTTGTAGTGTGGTATTTATTGAGTATATATTTTGTCCAAGACACTCTGGATTCAGGTTTTCAATAGCTTTCTTATACCACCCTAGCAGGTTTTATATATTAGATTTTAAGTATTTCATACCTACATTATTTTCTTATGTAAGTTAATTCATATAGAGTTGTAATAAACTATCATGAAACTGAAATCTAAGCATGACTAAACCAGATTTTGCTTTTTGCAAATTTTATGTTTTACTTGTATTAGTATTTGATAAATCTGTTTATTAAATATGGATGGTTTTTATTTGTTAAATTTGTGGTGATTTTTGCCTGTGGTGGGAGGTAAATGATAAAAGTACAAAGGATTTGAAATTCAGATAGAACTGGTTTTGAATCCTGTCCTATTACCTTAAACAAGTTACTTTCTCTCTTCAAGTCAGTCTGTAAATTTCGAATAATGGTATAAATTTTGTAGTGTTGTAAAGATTAAATAATATATCCAAATAACATCACTTAGTAAGTATTCAATAATTGATAGCTTATATCGTCTCACAAGTTTTAGAATTGTGCAGTTTGATGATATCTAGTGAAAACAGCCATGTGAATGAATGATCAGTGATGCTGAATATATTACTATTGACTAAAAGTTTTTTCCTCTTTAGCAACTGTTGTCTAAGTGTCCCTGGAAGGAGTACAAATCTGATTCAGGAAAGCCTTACTATTATAATTCTCAAACAAAAGAATCCCGCTGGGCCAAACCTAAAGAACTTGAGGATCTGGAAGGTAAAACAGGAAAAAATAATTTGTAATGTAACTTTTTACATATATATGTCATTCATTTTGAAACAATCCCTCCTGAATAGGCTTGTTCAAAGCCCTTTTTTCTTTTAATTAATGATTAGAACATTTAAAATGGTGTAACAGTTTTATGGGCTCTTATTTTCTTGTTGCTCTAGATCTCAGTTCTATAGATTTTAAATAGATTTTTATTTGATTTGATTCCACTGAAACTAGGATACCAGAATACCATTGTTGCTGGAAGTCTTATTACAAAATCAAACCTGCATGGTGAGCTGCTTTGATAATTCATTTTCTGTCATACTTAACATTTTTAGAGTATGTCACTAATGTTCACTAACCATGAGTGAATAGATCTGCAGTGAAAAATCTCTAAAGAATTCCTTTCATTTAAGGGTTATATTATAAATGAGCTTGTAGCTTTTAAAGGTGTAATTTGATTTTTAAAAATCATTTTCATTTGAAAATTGAACAAGGACTTCACTTATAAAATTTCTAAATCCCTTCGTGAGTGTTGGTACATAGATGGAACATGTCTTTTAACCCACTTCACAGTAGTAGATAGTAGATAACCTTGAATCTTTTATCAGTTTAAATTTTGTTATTGTATTATCAGACCGTACATTAAATGCCAATTTTGTTTTAGCATAACACTGCAAAATAGCCGTATATGTTTGTTATGGAAGAATTAAGGTAAACAAAATATGCCTCACAAGGGGAGAATTTTTCAGCATCCTTAACTATTCAGAATACCCTTGAAAATCTAGAAATACTTATTACCTAATATAAAACCCTAGGCTTAAAATAGCAGAGATAATGAGTAAGAATTGAAAATTTAGTTCTTTTACTCTCACTTCTTATAGAATCTAGTGTCATAAATTACACCAGATTAGAAGCAACAGATTGTATTAATAAGAGAATGGGGCTAATAAAGTAGGTAGCAATGTGGAATGACATCTGGCAGGAAGGAGGATAAAAGTTTCTTAAAAGACACTGTCATCTTAAGTTCATTTGCCTTGCTCGTGTCACTTCATTAGGCTAGATCCTCATTGTTTTGGAAGAATATGTTAATTCATATCAGTAATGATGTCTCCTCAAGTATGTTTCTCTGCCCTCCTAAACATTTTCAGAAATGTTTTCCTTTAAAATTTTAAAAATATTTTCACAAGGATTTAAGCTTATATCATTACTCATGGAATACCTCATTCTCTAGTGGTGCTGAATAAAAGATAATTTCTGTTACCCGCAAAGAAAAATATACTTAAACTGGAAGGAAAACAAATATTGAGTACACTTCTTTAAAGCTCAATTTAAATTATTTATACTAGCATTGGCTAATAATATTGTAGATAGGTAGATTCACAATTTATTCATTTATGAAGTGTCAAGCTCATTTCTGATATAACCCTACTATAAATATTTGGTGTGCGTAACTATCTATCTACTTGTCAATGCTAGTATATATGTGCTGCAATTTCATAAGTTTGATCACATTTTGAATCTAGTATCTTTAAAAAAATATCAAACTAGTCTCATCCTTCAATAACTTGCTATTCCAGAATTATGCAGATATTTTCAGGGAGTTGTTGCAGTAGCCAGCTGCAGTAGCCTTTGTGAAAGTAGTAGTGTGGGATAAGCTTTCCTAATAAATGCTCTCATTTAAATTTGTTTTCATTTTTTAATTGCTGCCCTGGAATTTTGGAGCAAGCATTTGCTCTATAAAAGTGGTTTTGAGTTTGCTATTTTTTTAGGATGATAAATTAAATTTTATTGTATGATACTTTATCTTCTTTTAAAATCTGTTTTCAATGATTATATTTTAAAACTATGTACTAGATGACTTTTCTTTTTTCTCTTTAATAGCAATGATCAAAGCTGAAGAAAGTAGGTAAGTAGTTTTGGAAATCAATATGCATTTATAAATTTGGTCTCCCATTACATCCTTGTTTGCTCAATTTTATTTGCAATGTAAATAATTATTTAATATGCTAGGCCTGATATTTTGTTGTCTTTGCAGGATTTTGTTGGGGAGAAGTTAGGGAGGGATATTTACTCAAGAAGATGCTTTGCTAGACAGTAATTATTTGAATTTGGACTGCATCATTTACAAATTAGGAAGACTGTATTATAGAAAAGTCCAAAATTTGGTTTGAGTTGATTTGGGAATGGATGAAATATTGTATATGTTTTTTTCTTTACATAGAGTTTCCTTTTAATGGGTGAAATGGAGAAAATTTAAAGTTTGTATAGAAATCTTTTATATAGATCAAATTTATTGGTGTAATACAATCTGATAAATTGGCCATTTTGTAAATGAGAACAGTTACTGGACTTTTTAGAAATGCAGAATGTTGCATCAGTGCATGTAATACATTACTGCAAATGTTTGCTAAATTAAGTCAAAGCAATACAGTTTCATTTTGTGATTTTAATCTTTTTGACTGGCTTAAAAGTTTGGCATCCTTGGCTTTTTTCCCTTTCAATTGCTTCTTTTATTCATTTCCTTTTATGATAATTTAAAAACTTGCTTTATTTAGCTCTGTGATTACAATAATGAAATGACCAGTTTTCTCTTTTTTTAATGTATAGTAAGCAAGAAGAGTGCACAACAACAGCAGCCCCGGTTCCTACAACAGAAATTCCAACTACCATGAGCACCATGGCTGCTGCAGAAGCAGCAGCTGCTGTTGTTGCAGCAGCAGCCGCAGCAGCAGCAGCTGCTGCTGCAGCCAATGCCAGTGTTTCCACTTCTGCTTCTAATACAGTCAGTGGAAGTGTTCCAGTTGTTCCTGAACCCGAAGTTACTTCCATTGTTGCTACTGTTGTAGATAATGAAAATACAGTAACTATTTCAACTGAGGAACAAGCGCAACTTACTAGTACCCCTGCTATTCAGGATCAGAGTATTGAAGTATCTAGTAATACTGGAGAAGAAACATCTAAACAAGAAACTGTAGCTGAGTAAGTTTACTCACTTGTCTTCTGAAAATCAGTAATCAAAGTGCATTACAGAAAGAATACAAGAAAGAAAATGCCAGTTTAGTCAGTGACCCTTAAGTGTTTAAATAGATGTAAAATTTTTTGAAAATCAAAACATCAGCCTTTAGACAACTGATCAGTTTTAAGGCTGAATTTTAGGCAGAGGGGTATGCATCAAAGCACCAAGCCATTGTAAAATTAGTACACTAAAATTTTTGGAATTAGGACTGAGGAAAAGGGTGAGGCACAGATTTTAAAAAGAGTGCCAAAAGTTTTAGAGTAAGCAAGATATATTTAGATGCAGTATTTTAAATCAGAATCAATGCCAAAAAGACCATGGTTAACAAACTATCAACATTTTAAATAAAGGATCAGTATTGATGATTTTTTTTTTCTTTTGCCTCAATCTCCACTATGGCTCAGCACAGCGCTGCAAGCAGGTGCTATACTTTGATGTTGAACAAACAGATAAACTATGGTAGTTGAGGAAGCCCTGCCAAATAGAGTACTAAAATTGTTTTATTTCTTCTTTGGTTATTGATTTATTTTTGGTTTTCAACCTTCTACAAATCAGTAAAAACAAAAAAATATAGCTGTGTTGAAAAATGCATTACAGGTAAGAGAAGGCAATTTACAGAGAAAGAAATAGTTATCCAAGAAATATGTAAAAGGCACTCCATCATAATAAGACAGAAATACAAATTAAAATAATACTATTATTTTCCTACCATGTAAGCAAAACTCAAGTAGACTAAAAATAAAAATAACACCAGGGTTAGAAAACTCTTATATCACTCTTAGTGAGACTAAGTTTGTATAGCTTTTTGATAAAGTAAAGTTGTATCTGTCAAAGTTTATAGTTTGTGTGTACTTGGGTACCCCATACTCTGGTAATATTTCATATGGCTGTGCTTTATATAGCTATAAGAAGTAAAGTCAAGCTAAACTTCTTGACTTTAAGGATGTCCTTATGTTTAAACAAGTGTTAACCATAATCATCTCCTGATCTAAACATAATCAACCATCTTAATATTTAAGTGTATTGCCTTCATCCCTCCAATCCTTATTCCAGCTGTTCTTCTGTTTGTTTTTTGTGTCAGTTTCCCAAAGTTAAAACAGTGTTATAAATTTTTTTTTTTTTTTGAGACAGAGTCTCACTTTGTTGCCCAGGCTAGAGTGCTGTGGCATCAGCCTAGCTCACAGCAACCTCCAACTCCTGGGCTCAAGCGATCCTACTGCCTCAGCCTCCCGAGTAGCTGGGACTACAGGCATGCGTGACCATGCCCGGCTAATTTTTTGTATATATATTTTTAGTTGGTCAATTAATTTATTTCTATTTTTGGTAGAGACGGGGTCTCGCTCAGGCTGGTTTCGAACTCCTGACCTTGAGCAGTCTACCCGCCTCGGCCTCTCAAAGTGCTAGGATTACAGGCGTGAGCCACCACGCCCGGCCTATAAATTTTTTTTTTTTTTGGACGAGGTTCTGGTGCCCCTCTCTCTTGGGGCCCCAGAAGTCGCCCATAGTGTTATAATTTTTTCTGATGTTTAGAAGTTGAAAGTGTTCCCCTATTGATAGACATTTAGGCTTTCTGGAATAACATTTTTTTGCATCTTTTCACACTTAATCTCTTTTTCCAGAAAAATAAGTTTTTCATAAACTTATTTAACTTGTTAAAGTTTTTAATAAGTGCTTGTTTCCTGCTTTTTTCATCCCAGCGTTTCTTTATTATAGTGCCTGAGTCATTATAATAAGCTTTTGACTTTAATTACTACAATAAAGATCATTTATAAGTTTTAGTTTTCTGCTGGGCTCTGTAAAGTATTTTTTGACAATTTTAAATAAATTTCCCAGTGAGGTTATTAATAGAATGTGACTATATTTGCATCTTTTTGTTGATATCTATTCCCTTTCTCTTCCCCTAAGCATTCTACTTAAAATGGGTTTTTCTGCATTCCTTTATTTTTATATAGGAAGAAATGGAATGCTTATATAATTTTTTCACTTCAGAAAGATCCCCAATCAAGTCAGTAATGCTTGGTTGCATGAATTCTTTTTGTTTGAGGTCAATGTTTAACGAACTTTTTCGTAAAATACCAGATAGGAAATTTTCAGTTTTGTATGTCATACAGTCTCTATATATTTACTCATTTACACTTTGGTAGCACAAATCAGCCATAAACATAACATAAGCAAATAAATGATCATGGGTGTGTTCCAGTAAAACTATTTACAAAAACTAAGAGTGGGCTGTATTTGGCTACCATATCATAGTTCGTTGGTCTGCCAGTCCTGATTTGGATTGATCTCTACATCTTATTCTTTCTTATTTATGCACACTTGCCTATATGCTCAGTTATTATGCCACTAATATGAAACCACTGAATGATTAATAAACCATTTAAAAGTATTAAGCTGTGGGCTGGTAGAGCTAGTGTTTTAGTGCAGTTAAATGTTTATTTTGGCATTTGTAGAGTCTTAAAAAAGTGAACTAAATAACGTTTCAGAAAAACTATTATTTCTTTTGTCTTCAGATAAGTGTGTTTTTAGGGTTCATATAAGAGATTTGATTGTAAAATTATCAAATTTTAGTTCAGTATCAAACATTTAAATAAGGCATTATTTTTCCAAATGAAGCAAACATTTATTTAAATTATGAATAACATGTTTAAATTTCTCTCTAGTTTTACACCCAAAAAAGAAGAGGAAGAGAGCCAACCAGCAAAAAAAACATATACTTGGAATACAAAGGAGGAGGCAAAGCAGGCTTTTAAAGAATTGTTGAAAGAAAAGGTATGTTTATTATAGATTTTTTATTGCTTCTTGGCCTTTGGGCTAAGATCAAGTGTATATTACAGATTTTTATGTGACATGTAATAATTACCTAATAAATGAAGTTACTCTTTTTATCAATACCTTGATGCCTTTGTTGAAAATACTAATCTCATAAACTGTTGTGTAACTGAAAATCAACTAAATGTGTCTTGTTTTCTTGAAGAAAAGTTTTGTGAAACTGACTTTCAACAAAAAAACTATTGTGTATGAGGTACACAATATAAGGTACACAAGTACATTTCTACCACAATATTTAAGATTTTTTATTCATAATAATTATCTTTTAATCAGTACTGTAAAGAAAAAGTCTTCATGCTCTGTTTAAATTTTAGTTGAAGTTTTCTTTTCAGTCTATAGGTATATTGCAGATTTGCCTTCAATAAAAAACTATTTTTAGAACTTTTCAAACTCCTGCAAAGCTGAAGTGCTTGATGTTTGCAGTGAGTATTACACTTGGCCTCCTGTTATGACTTCTACTGTTCTTGTGTGAAATTTTAATTTTTCATTTAAATGGTTTTCAGCGGGTACCATCCAATGCTTCATGGGAGCAAGCTATGAAAATGATCATTAATGATCCACGGTACAGGTAATACTTGAATTTTTTATTCACTTTTCTCTTTGAGCATAGCAAGCTTAGTACATTTAAAATTGTTGAAAATGGTACAACTTTTCACCTCACTGACTTTTGTTTTGGATACCAAGTAATATATTTTTGAAATTTTCTTAATTTATACATGGAAACAATTGTTATTTTTTTTCAAAGCACTAACATTTGATTCTCCTGCATTCATTTACTCTTATATGATATTCTTTTATTATTTAGTGCTTTAGCAAAGTTGAGTGAAAAAAAGCAGGCGTTTAATGCCTATAAAGTCCAGACAGAAAAAGAAGAAAAAGAAGAAGCAAGATCGAAATACAAAGAGGCTAAGGAATCCTTTCAGCGGTTTCTTGAAAATCATGAGAAAATGACTTCCACAACAAGATACAAGTATGGTTTTTAGTGATGCATGGCATTTGTTTACTGCATTGTTGTTTGTCTTACACATTTTTGCCAAGTGCAGTAGCTGATCTAAAGTACATGCTCATTAAATAAAGCTACATGATAATGAATCTGGCACTTTCATGTGGTATAAGATGAGTAGTTAAATGTTGGATTTAACTTGTAGAGTTAATTAGAAACTAGAAGAAAAAGTGGAGAAAAAGTAGATTTAATGATCAAATTTGACTCCTTTTTATTTAATGAAATCATTGAAATTTTTTATATTTGTAAAATAGATATAGGCTATTTTCATTTAGTAGGTACAGAATTTTGAAAAATTGGTTTATGTAGCATTCTTAATTTTAGACTGTTTTATTATTTAAAATTGTGGATAATTTAATATTAAAATTTTTGCAATAATTTATTAAGCTTATTTTCCCTACATCTTTATTTCCCTCACTTCTCCAGAAAAGCCTATAATTTAGTTCCACAGGCAATTTGGTAGTCTCTGTTGCTACCCTAAGAAATAGTCTACACTACAAAACATTGCCCAATGTAAATTATCCTCCTCTATCACTAAGGACAACTATTGGCCTGTGCTGTTTTGTTCTTAACTACTAGGAGTTTAACAATACAGTTATGAACTTAAAAAAGTCTTCATTTTGTGGTTTTAAATTTTAAATTAACTTTTAAATTAAGATGGTTTAAAATGAACTTTTATTATATAATTTTTTTAACAAATAGAAAAGCAGAGCAAATGTTCGGAGAGATGGAAGTCTGGAATGCAATATCAGAACGTGATCGTCTTGAAATTTATGAAGATGTTTTATTCTTTCTCTCAAAAAAAGAAAAGGTATTTGTTCTTAGTTATTGATATTTATAGGTTAAACAAGACGTTTCTTCATTCTGATTAGTAGTTATTTTATAACATGTCCATTTTTGTTTCTTAGTTTAGCCAGTTTGTGCTACAGCAGATTTATTTATTAGAAGTAAGGTTTAAAGATTGAATGGATATCATCTATTACAATAAACTTCTTCTTTTTTTTTTTTTTTTAGACAGAGTCTCGCTTTGTTGCCCAGGCTAGAGTGAGTGCCATGGCGTCAGCCTAGCTCACAGCAACCTCAAACTCCTGGGCTTAAGCAATCCTTCTGCCTCAGCCTCCCGAATAGCTGGGACTACAGGCATGCGCCACCCTGCCTGGCTAATTTTTTTTATATATATTAGTTGGCCAATTAATTTCTTTCTGTTTATAGTAGAGACGGAGTCTCGCTCTTGCTCAGGCTAGTTTCAAACTCCTGACCTCGAGCAATCCCCCCCCCCCCAGAGTGCTAGGATTACAGGCGTGAAGCCACCATGCCAAGCCTTACAATAAACTTCTTTATCTTTCAGCTAGCATAATAAGTACTGACAGAGTAGGCAGTGATTTATCCACCTGTTATTTATATTGTCATTAATTGGCTATCTTATGCCTACTTTTAAATATAATTTTTATTTAGATCATTAGGCTTTAAAATATTCAAGTTTTTGTTTTAATGTAAAATCTTAATTGAGGTTAAGATTTTACATTAGCATTAAATTGCAAGAATGGCAGTAATGTACAGTTGTTTCCACTAAACTCAAATTGTATAATAATGTTCTAAAACACGTTTTACTCAGTCTATTTCATTATATGCTATTACATTTTATATTATCCAGTCTTCAAGGAACTAAATGCAAGTACTGTCAAAAATATGAACATGATTGAAGGTCATGAAGACCTTTGCAATTTACGTACTATGTCATCTGCCCACAGTAAATTTAGTTATAAATTGTGTCTGTAATGAATAGTAGTAGGAGAGGTTTATGGAGTAGGAGAAAAAATTAAAAACATAGTTTCCAGATTCTGGCTTTAGAAAAGAGGTGAAAAAATTGAAGAAGGTAAGAGAAACACTCAGGCAAGAACATTGACAAAGTAAATAACATAGCTATTGAAAGTAAATAAAATTTACTTAAGATGTAAATTTACATTTGAATATTGGTCATCAGAATGTAAAGAAACCAACACTAATGCAACTCAAAATATTGCAACTCAAATATTTTAGTTTCTTTAAATTCAAAAGGTGTATTCATACTTTTGCTGTAGGAACAAGCAAAGCAATTGCGAAAGAGAAATTGGGAAGCCCTCAAAAACATACTGGACAACATGGCTAATGTAACATACTCTACTACTTGGTCTGAAGCACAGCAATATCTGATGGATAATCCAACTTTTGCAGAAGATGAAGAGTTACAAAGTAAGAATAATAAATAAATGAGAGGAATAGTTTTAAACAGTGTTCTCCAGCAGCAAAGAATTGTTCTCATTTGTTATATGTAATCACCAACTGAATTATACACAGATGTTTGTCCATTTCTGAAAATGTGTTTTGTTTATTTTTAAATGGGATATTTCTTTTTAATTGAGTTTTTGTGATTTAGGACAAAATATACTTTTAGAAATAAAAATGAGGTTTATTAGATAATCCTTGATATGTAAATCAGAGGTCAAACTAGAAATTTTGGTTAGCCATTTATATGTAACTTGGTAAGAACAAAATTACTGCATTTTACCTCATGCTGTCTTCTTACAGTAGTAACTTTACACATTTGCAAAAAGCAAAAAATGTTCTAGAATTATCTTTCATTAGGCTTTTCTAAGTATGCTTTTTCTGACTTACCTAGTTACTTTTTAAATTTACAGCTTTCTGAGCTATCCCTGTGAAAATCATGCTTCAGTGGGTTTTTTGGTAGGGCCTACAACTATACTTTGGGCAGTTTTATAGTGGGATAATTATGATGTTGCAGACTAATTTTGTCATAATTTTATTTTCATTAATTTTGACATATATGTCTTTAATTACATCCATGATTGAGGGCATCTTTTAATAAGGTCTTTGTGAAATTTTCTTAAAACTTTCCTATTTAGATAATTATAAATCATACATGAATTTTAAATACAAGTATTTTTGAAAGGTGAATTTGAAATTCTTAGGGAGTTAATACGAGTAATCAAACTGTTTTACTCATTGATGTTTGACATTTTAATTTTTAACTGAAAAACACTTTAGACATGGACAAAGAAGATGCATTAATTTGCTTTGAAGAACACATTCGGGCTTTGGAAAAGGAAGAAGAAGAAGAAAAGCAAAAGAGTTTGCTGAGAGAAAGGAGAAGACAGCGTAAAAATAGGGAATCTTTTCAGGTAATAGAAAAATTGTCTTTTCTAGCTTAGTTTTATGTGGTTACTGAGCTTGAACAATGATATAAACAATTTGGAGACACCAGTTCCCAGATCATTGACTTAGACTTTGTGGAGGACCCATATACATTTAACTATTTAAGTTCCATGATTAGTTATGCATCTACTTACACAGCCATTTTAGATGAGGAAACATATAGATGTTGGTATTTAAGGTGAGCATTGATAAGGTTTCAGTTGGGAAACATGAATAATGCAGAGGTCCTCAAACTTTTTAAACAGGGGGCCAGTTCACTGTCCCTCAGACCCGTTGGAAGGCCTTTGGAGAGTGCGGTGCACATTCCACACACATGCACTGTGGGCCCAGGACGAATTGGCTGCTAAGCAGGCCAGGCAGCGGCTGCAAAAACATCCAGCAGGCTGGGTAAATGTCCTCGGTGGCTGCATGTGGCCCATGGGCCGTAGTTTGAGGATGCCTGAAGGGATGACTAAAAACAAAGATGTGTGATGAGTCAGTAGTAAGTTGTTGATGTCTATAGAGAATGTGGGATGTGCTGGGATATAGTTTCAGATGGACCATAATTTTTTTTTTTTTTTTTTTTTGAGACAGAGTCTCACTTTGTTGCCCAGGCTAGAGTGAGTGCCGTGGCGTCAGCCTGGCTCACAGCAACCTCAATCTCCGGGGCTCAGCGATCCTACTGCCTCAGCCTCCCGAGTAGCTGGGACTACAGGCATGCACCACCATGCCCGGCTAATTTTTTGTATATATATTTTTAGTTGGTCAATTAATTTCTTTCTATTTTTGGTAGAGACGGGGTCTCGCTCAGGCTGGTTTTGAACTCCTGACCTTGAGCAATCCGCCCGCCTCGGCCTCCCAAAGTGCCAGGATTACAGGTGTGAGCCACCGCGCCCGGCCCATAATTTCTTAAACACCATATACAGGAACTGGGATTGCATGTCCTGTAGCTGGTAGCTCATTTTCACCTTCAAAGATCACTTTTAAGGTGATCTTAAAAGTGCTGGTGAATATCATGGAGCAATTGATTTTTTGCATTTCCTGTCTCACCAGATTGCCCATTTCAATAATTATAATAATAACTGGCATTCATTGATTGCTTACTATTATGTATTTTATGTTTATAATCTCAATTTTTATGACAGCCTTATCTGATAAGGGTGTAGGTACTAGTTTTGGTTGTATCCATTTATATACATAAGGAAATGAACTTGGGTAAAGTCACTTCAGCTCTCCAAGTCCAACAGCTACTGAATAGTGAAGCTAGGATTTGAGTCCATTCAGTTTTGACTATAGAGTCTCTTCCATTAACCACTGTATTAGGATAAATTCTAAGTTCTAATGGCTTAAATAAGTTTGTTTCTTGAAATAACAGTCTGTTTGGTCTAGGGGTAGGCCTAGTACATTACCATCCCCTAGGGCAGTGTTTTTTCAAAATTTAGTGTGTATCTGAATCTCCTAGAGGGCTTTTCTTTTTAAATTGACAAATAATAATTGTACATATTCATAAGGTACATAGTTTGAGACATATAATGCATGGTGATCAGATTAGGGTAATTAGCATAATCATGCTTTCAAACGATTATCATTTGTGTTGGGGACATTCAGTATCTTCTTTTAGCAATTTGAAAATATGTATTATTGTTAACTGTGGTTATCCCATAGTAGTATAGAACACTAGAACTTATTCTTCCTATCCAGCTGTAATTTTGTATTCTTTAACAAATCTCTCACTATCCATCCCTTCCCCCTACCCTTCCCAGCCTCCCTAGAGGACTTTTAAAAAAAATTCTTCCTGCCATGCCAAAGGTCACTATTTTAAATGCCACAGCCAATAGCATGATTTCAGTCCTCATTCTATGAAAACTTAATAGTTACTACTCTTTTGGTTGCTTTATCTTATCAATTCTCCAGAGGATCATTTGGAAAATTAAAACCACAGATTGTTAAACCTTACCTGAGAATTCAATTCAGTAGGTCTGGGGTTGAGTCTGAAAATTTGCATTTCTGTGTTTCTAGGTAACACTGATACTACTAGTCCCCATTCTTACCTAGCATGGTAGCTTTGTCTGCAGGGTTAGAGGTATCCAGACACATTTTAACCTGGAAAAAGTTAAAAGGACAGTTCTGTTCAAAGCCAGTGATGTAGAAGTTCTACTCACCTCCTTCATTGGTATTCATTTGCTAAGGATTTAATCATATCACCACAGCTAGCTACAAAGGAGGCTAGAAAACCTGGTTTTTAAAGCAACCATGTGCCCAGGAAGAAGGGGAGCTTCTATGTTTTAATGTCTCCTATGATGGTTTTGCAATAGTTTAAAATAAGGAGACCTATATAGAAAAATAAAACATTGAAAATAAGATGGAAATTTGGGTCATAGAAAATATTAGACTATTGAATATTGATACTGAAGGTGGAGACTATAGGGGTAATTTTAATGTAAAGGATGATAGGTCTTTAGGTCTAAAATATGGCTTTGAATCAGATTGGTATGTGTCTGGCATGGTTTCTGATTGCTATTAATATAATTGATGTTAAGCATGTTGTATTAATATTCTTTCAGATACTCAGCCTAGTAATTTTCCTGTGCTACTATTCTACCTTTCATAAAGTATATTTAGAACTTCAGTAAAATTAATTAAAAGAGAAGGTTGGCATTTGCAATAAAAGATCATAAGTGGAAAGAACATTCTCATAATGGTTATGGTGATAACTGTCTTCTTATTGAGTATTCATTTGCCAGTCAGGTGAAATATTTTTCACATCCATAACAAGGAAACTTTTTTCTTTTTTTGGTCTTAAAACTGATATTTGAAGTCATGTCATGTCTGGAAAGGGTTGATCAGAGGCTATAAGGCTATTAAGGAGATCCAGGGGAATATATAGTGTCTCATGAGCCAAGATGGAGTTTTAAGCTAGAGCAGCAATTCCCTCCAACTCCAGATGCACAGAATCAGCATCTCCTGATCACCTAGGGAGTGACTGAAATGCAAATTCTCAAACCCCACACCAGATATAATCAAATTCTGGGGATAAGGCCTAAAGATCTATGATTTTTTTGTTTAAACAAATGATTCTTTCAGAAAACCCTGAAGTAGAGGAATCCACCAAAAGTAACAAACATTAAGAATTTTTATGAAATGAGGATTTAAGTGAAAGGGTTGCCAAATAGTTGAAAGATAAAGATACAGTCATACTTTTTTCTCAGATATTTAATGAGGTAAAGTTCACGTAAGCTCAAGGTTAAAAGAAAGGCTTTTCTTGGGTAAGAGAAAACCAGTCAAGAGGGAGAAAATAAAGAATTGAAAAGATAGGAGTGTCTAATTAAACAAAATCTTTGAAAGTTAGAATTCAAGCATATGTGTGAATATATTTACATTGTGAACAGTAGATAACGGTACAAAAGGAAGAACATGGGGAAAAATTAATAATGAGTTGGGTCCAAGGCAGTGGTACTCAACCCAGAAAGATTCTGTTGACTGTCACTATTGAGGGGAAATGTTAGTGGCATCTAGTGGTTAGAGGCCAGATATGTCGTTAAACATCCCACAATGGGCCAGGCATGGTGGCTCATGCCTGTAATCCCAGCACGTTGGAAGAGGGCAGGAGAATCACTTGAGGACAGGAGTTTAAAATCAGCCTTGGCAACATGATGAGAACCCCCGTCTCTACAAAAAAAAAAAAAGAAAGAAAAGAAAAATTAGCTGAGCATGGTGGCATGTGCCTGTAGTCCCAACTACTCAAGAAGCTGAGAGACAGGAGGATCATTAGAGCCCAGGAGTTTGAGTCTGCAGTGAGCTGTGATCATGCCACTGCACTCCAGCCTGTGCGACAGATCAAGACCCTATCTCAAAACAAAACAAAAAAATCTTACAACATACATGCTGTGGTAAGGATACACACTCCCCTTACAAACCTCACTCCCAATATAAACAAAAGGAAAAAATACAGAAAATAGTTAAATTGCCCAAGATGTCATTAGTGCCAAGGACCCCTTGTCCAAGGGAAGGAGAAAGATCAGGCTCAGTCATCTTGGAAGCACCTTGCTTCCAATAATACAAAAGACAAGGCTCTCCCTTGGCCCCCCCTACCAAAAAGGAAACATGCATATATGTTCTTTTTAAGCCTCATTTGAGATAGGTGCTATCTAACGTTTTGAGTTACCTTTTAACCTCTTTTTTAAGCTGAAAATGATGTTCAGTCTTAAGGGACAGGAAACTGAAGCCTGGAAAGATAATGTAGTGTTTCAAAGTTCCTTTTGTCTGAAAGACAAAATATTTTTTTGCCTAAAGGCAGTTTTTGTTTTCTTCAAATAGCAAATATTCTTTGTACCTAAACATGCTTGGGATAATATGGGTAAAAGAGTTTTAGATATTGCGAAGTTTTTGTGTGTTTCCATGTTACACTCATATTTCTAATGTACTTACAGGTAACTTTTCAAATATAATTGCTTTTTCCCCCAGATATTTTTAGATGAATTGCATGAACATGGACAACTACATTCTATGTCATCTTGGATGGAATTATATCCAACTATTAGTTCTGACATTAGATTCACTAATATGCTTGGTCAGCCTGGTGAGATTCTTTTTTTTCTTAATTTATAGTTATGATAATAGTTGGAATGGGCCAAAGGGGAAAGTGGTTGTGTTGGGGGTGAGGGTGCTTTATTTTATTTTTGTTTTATAAACAAAAAAGTAATTGCAGCTCTTTGGTAGAGCTAGCTTTTGACTTCTTTAGTTTTTTCATTAGGATCAACTGCACTTGATCTTTTCAAGTTTTATGTTGAGGATCTTAAAGCACGTTATCATGATGAGAAGAAGATAATAAAAGACATTCTAAAGGTAAATAAATATACTTATTCTTCGCTGTTAACCTATAGTGTATTTTAAAAATTGGCATTATATTTTTTGATTTGTGTGTTATTAATAAAATTTTTTTTAGGATAAAGGATTTGTAGTTGAAGTAAATACTACTTTTGAAGATTTTGTGGCAATAATCAGTTCAACTAAGAGATCAACTACATTAGATGCTGGAAATATCAAATTGGCTTTCAATAGTGTAAGTTATTTTTATTAAGTAACTACTGATATAATTTTTAATGTATTCAATTAAAAGTACTTAAGTTGTAAGCTATTGGAATAAGGGGATTTTAATAAAATTTTACAGAGTAGTAGACAGTCTTGTGTAAGGTAAAAGATTTTAGATGATAGACTGGTGTTAAGCTTCTTTTGCTCAAATTAACTGATAAGTTGGTCCTTGTGTAAACAATGTGAAAATACTTCCAAATTAAGAACAGTAAATTATTTTAATTAACAGGAGTTATTGTACTATTATAACTGATGGAATATGATTTTCTGATAGTTACTAGAAAAAGCAGAAGCCCGTGAACGTGAGAGAGAAAAAGAAGAAGCTCGGAAGATGAAACGAAAAGAATCTGCATTTAAGAGTATGTTGAAACAAGCTGCTCCTCCAATAGAATTGGATGCTGTCTGGGAAGATGTATGTGTACTTCTAAATTTTCTATTGAATTGTTTTATTTACAGTTGAAAAATAAAAATATTTTTAATTTCTTTCCATTTTATAGCCACAAAAATAGGCTAAGGTTATTTGTAGAGTATATTAAATATATTTAGGACATAGTAAAGTTATTAAGTTAGCTGTGATTCTGCATTTAGGAATATTTCTTGAGAATGGTTTGGACTTTTGAAGGAAGAAAATAATATAGTTTAGGGGGGCTGTTATCACAGTTTTCACTTGTTGTTATGCCTATTAGGCATATTGGTATACTTTTCTTGGTACTCATAATCATACATTTATTCCATATCTGAATTTTTCAGATCCGAGAGAGATTTGTAAAAGAGCCAGCATTTGAGGACATAACTCTAGAATCTGAAAGAAAACGAATATTTAAAGATTTTATGCATGTGCTTGAGGTAATTTTACTATTCTCATAACTGGTTAAATATTATAAAATATATAAAATGAAAACAAAAATTGAAGAATTTAGAATGATGAAAGTATGTTTCTTAATATTCACTGCTTCTATACAAATGTAGTTACCTGGGATAGTTAGGGAAGGGTTTTTTTCCTATAAAAAATGGTTTTAAGGCCATTAAGGCTCATGCCTATAATCTTACTTAGCACTTTGGGAAGCTGGGGTGGAAGGATCAGTTGAGCTCTGGAGTTCGAGACCAGCCTGAGCAAGAACCCAACTCTACAAAAAAAAAATAGAAAAATATTAGCCAGGCATGGTGGCATGTATTACTGGGATGCTGAGGCAAGAGGATCTCTTCAGCCCAGGAGTTTGAGGTTGCAGTGAGCTATGATCACACCACTGTACTCCAGCCAGTGTGACAGCAAAATCCTGTCTCAAAAAATAAAAATCCCATTTTTAAGTTAAGAAACAAACTGTAAATTTGCGTGGGAATATAAAGCTTTAAAATAAAATATAAAACTTTATTTTGTGTTTTTAGAAAACATGAAAGAAAGTTTTAGAACTGCAGTAATTTGGTAGCCACATGAATTAACTAGTGATAGAAAACAGCTTTAATGCACATTTGAGACATAGTACCACGTTAGATGTATAGAAAACCCAGAGGGTTTCTGAAAAATGATGGAATAAATAGCTTTTGTTAAAATAACTTGAGATTTTATTTTAACAGTTGGGTAAGGGTATTTTGATGAAGGTGTCAGGTAAGCCATTATAAATATGCTAAATTGACCAGTAATTATTGAATAATAATATTTGATGCTTATGTGGTCCAGGCAGTGTTCTTCTAATTGTTTTACACAAATTACATTCTTGAACTTAATACCACAGGAAGCCCTAGGAAGTTACAGATGAGCAAAGTAAGGCAAAGAGAAGTATAGTAACTTACAGAGAACAGATTCCAAACCAGGCACCTTGACTCCTGGTTCAGTGCTTTTAACAAATATCCTATGCTGTTAGTTTTAGACTAGCTAATACTTCACAAGCCAGAAACTTGTATGTATTTAATATTATAGTGCTGGATGGTAATTGGTCATAGCAGGTCACTTAATGAACTATTCATTATTTCTTTAGACTTATTGTTCTTGATTATTATCAATGTTAACTACATTTTTCTCTGTTAACATGGACTCACCTAGGCCCAATATTTTTTCCTAACTGCGTCTAGATCTGATCCTGTTGGCTTCTAGATCTTTTCTACTCCAAATGCAGTTCAGACCAGTATCATCTGCATTACCTAGGAAATTGTAAGGAATACAGAACTTTAGGCCCCATTAGCAGAAGAAATCTTGCATCAGAATCTTCATTTTAATCAGATTCCCAAGCATTAGAATATACATTTAATTTTAGAAGCTGTGCTTTAGGTAGTATCTTACCTGTTTTTCCCCAATTGAAGAATCTCTACCCAGATTATTTCATGATCTATGCCAGGGGTAAAATAATGAGATGGTAAATGGAACGAAAGAAGGTAGCATAGGAAAGGACTAAACACATTTAGATTTTGGACCCCAATATTCTGGGACTTGAGGTAGAAAGAAAGAAAGGTTTAGTGTTCAGTGAGATAGAAAGGACAAGAGTCTCTTCTGAGCCAGATTTTCCATTTCCACTTAGTTAACTGAAACAGTTTATTTTCCAAGTCATAAATATTTTTTGGTGCAAGCAGCTTTTACTGCAGCACCTCCCCTTTCCCATTAGCCTGATTATTGTTTAATAAGAATTGAAATCCACAGAGACAACATGTGGATGTTAACAAAAATCTTATTCGAGTAAGAAGGAAATGCTCTTTGGGGGAAAAAGGAAAACAAGTAGATTTTGCATTTATTCTGAGGCCAACATTATCTAAATTCAAGGATGGCTTTCAGGTTGTTGTTTGTATCCGTGCCTTATATAAAGAGCTTGCTGACCAAAACTAGATTTATTAGAAAAACCATACTTGAATGTCATTATATCTCATTGTCATTAAAAGCAGTTGTGACTGTTCTGCAGATTATACTTTATAGAGTTTGTCAGTTATCTCTACTAATCCATTACCATTCTCATAAAAACTGCTTTCTCCACTGAAACTTTTTAACATTGTTTTGCTTAGATATCTAAATGAGTAGATACAGGATGGGTGGGTAAGAAGGACAGAGAAAAGAAAATTTTAAGTGGCAATATTCTTTGCACAGTTTTAAGAGTACATCCTAAATATAATTTTACTCTAAAAACTTACTTGTATAGCTTTTAAAAACTTCTTTATGTAAACTCTTGATTTTTTTCCTTTGTCCCTATAGCATGAATGTCAACATCATCATTCAAAGAACAAGAAACATTCTAAGAAATCCAAAAAACATCATAGGAAACGTTCTCGCTCTCGATCGGTAAGAGAATTTATTAGATGGCACCATGAGTGTATCACGATATTTGTTAGCATTGCTATGAATGAAATTATTTGTGTTGCCTAGGGGTCAGATTCAGATGACGATGATAGCCATTCAAAGAAAAAAAGGCAGCGATCAGAGTCTCGTTCTGCTTCAGAACATTCTTCTAGTGCAGAGTCTGGTAAGCATTTCTACTTACTTGATTACAATCATTGACACTTGGATGTCCTCAAATTCTGACACTTTTTCTGACACTTTTTCCTTTTGTACTCTGCAGAGAGAAGTTATAAGAAATCAAAAAAGCATAAGAAGAAAAGTAAGAAGAGGAGACATAAATCTGTAAGCAAGCTTCTAATTATACATCATCTAGGCTTTTGCCCTTAATTTCCTCCGTGGCCGTAGTCCTGAGTTCTTCTCTCTAGTCCTGTGCAATCCATTACAGGTCATGTGAGCACCTAAACTTAGAGTTTTAACTTGTTCCCTTAAAATCATTTGGTGAGCTTTAAAAAATATATATACCAGAGTTGGGATTCCCACCTTGGTCTTTGAAATTAATCATCTGGAAAAGAGACTCAAGTGTGTGTGTATTGCAGCTGTTTTTGAGAGCCACAAATTTAAATGTTTAACCACTTCGGTACCAGCGTCGATAGCCACAGATGAACGCGCATAGCGACTTTAGCCGACAGCCATGATATGGCTTTTCTAATTTTTCATTTATCAAAATAAAATTATGAACATCTAAAAATAATTAATGAAAACATATATGTATATGTTACCTATTCTGATTTACATTATAAGTAAAGCTGCCTGTAAAGTAAAACAAGCTTTCAGTGCTTTAAAGCTTTCCTCATCACACAAGAGCAAAATGGATTCGTCGTCAATGCACAGCACAAACTATCGTGCAGACTATGAGTGCCAGCTGTGGGCAAGGTCTTGCATCCGGTGAGTGTGGTACTGAAGTGGTTAAACAACCATTCCTCGACTGTCATAGTTTTTAATCTTAAGTATACAATTAGGGTCACCTAAGTTGTTTTGTCAAAATGTAAGGTCCTGAGTGCCACCACCAAGCTGTTTAATTGGAAATTTTTTTCATGCTGTTCACTTGTATTTATGCATATATAAACAAGAACCATTTATTTAAGCATTACCATTACATTTTAAATAATTCCTGCTTTTCAATTTTAATATACAGCTGTCACCAGTATATGTGATAAAGCTAACAGAAGCATTCTGTATATATATATATATGAATAAACCAGTATTGGGTAAAAAATGTAATGTCTATTTACATAATATATATAACCTATCTGAAGTGGTAGTGAGACTCTTTTCATACTATTTTAGCCTATCAGAATGTCATTCTTCCCAAGGGAAAGACTGCCCTCTCCTATGACTCTCAGGGAAATCTTAGAATGGCAAAATATAATTTGAATTGTTAACCTCAAGGATTCTAAGAACACATAACCTGTTATATGTGATGTTCTTAAATATTGGCTATATAAGGGCTTTTTAAAAACAGAATGAAGTCTTCATCAAAATGCTAACATGGTATTTTTTATTTATATAGGACTCTCCAGAATCAGATGCTGAGCGAGAGAAGGATAAAAAAGAGAAAGACCGGGAGAGTGAAAAAGACAGAACTAGACAAAGATCAGAATCAAAACACAAATCACCTAAGAAAAAGACTGGAAAGGATTCTGTAAGTATTAGAATTGTTTCATACCTGTATTCTCAAAATACAAAATGGACACTGTGATTAAATCATGATGGTGTTTAAAGAATAGATTTATTTCAGGTTGGTTACCATTAAAAAAAACAATGAAAATTCAGTTTATGCAAAATAGTTTTGTTATGCAAATCATGAATGGCCCTTGATTTGAGTCTCCCAAATTTTATAGTCCTTCAAAAAAATAATACAGCATTCTATAACAGTAGTTTTAACTAAGAAAGGATATGGTCTTCTGCTTTGTACATTCTCACTAAGAAGTGCCACTAAACCTTTTCAACCTAATTTTCAATTTTTTTTTTTTTTTTTAAGGAATATAAAATATAAAAGATGCAGATCAGGGGTTTTCCAGATATCCACAGTTGTCATTGTTACTAAATCCAGTTTCAAAAGAGTAGTTCCAGTAACTTTTAGAAATACTGGTTGGGGGTACGGGTGAGGGCACTTGAATAGGAGGGGAAAATATTGTATGATCAAATTACAGAATTAGCCTTTAGTTTTTCAAATATATGTATATATGAATAACATAGTCCAATAACACAAATGGTGTGTGTTTAGCAAGGATAAATGCCTATGAAGTCTCAGCAGAGAGCTTTATCTGTGTAGAGAAGCCCTGACCCTACTTCTGGATATTCTAGTTCATTTGACATAGGATGGATTTTTTTTTTTTTAAACAGCTGCAACAGGTAAGTCTGAGTCATCATTGGTGAAGAATAAATGCCTCCTCTATACTTTTTAGCAACCTTACAGTAGGTTAAATGAAATCCCCAAAGTGTGATGGAGACTGGGTAAACTGTCTACTTTTCCAAGTTTATATCTCACAGATAATGAATGCAGCATTATTTTTGTTTGGTTTTTCAGCTTAAATCTTGTATTTATTTGGGCACAAGAAATCAGTATGTTTAAAATACAGTACTTACAGAACCACCTAGAATCTGCAAAATTAGCAAGGAATATTTAGGAAATGAACACCTGGCTTCCAGTGTTTCATATTCAGTTATGTAAAAGGCAGGCAAAGAAACCCGGTGTGTACCATTTCTCACTGGTTTACATATTAATGTCAACTGAAAATAGCACCATATAGTAGTCTCATTCTAATTTTTTTCTCTAATAAAACCAAGGACTGCTTAATCGGCAACCCCTTGAAGGGCTTTTGGCAAAGGGTCATTCTTTAAAACCTGTGAAATGTGTTTCTTTGGAAGAGAGAATCCATATAGAGTCATTACTTCTTAACCTTCTGAGTACTGATAGCAACTGTAATTGTAATCAATGTCTTTTCAGGGTAATTGGGATACTTCTGGCAGTGAACTGAGTGAAGGGGAATTGGAAAAACGCAGAAGAACCCTTTTGGAGCAACTGGATGATGATCAATAAATTATACCAAATATATGTTTACAGTATGATTTAAAGTCTAATTCAGACCAGGGACTCTATTTTAAGTTCAACTGAAATAACACTGGGTTTTAATTATATCACAAAAAAAGTGCATTTAAGTATTGTTATTGTGGGACTTTATAAAAGCAAAGGAAGTTGAAAATAACTTTTGATTCTGTATCAAGAATCATATTTTCATACGGTCATAACTGTCTTTCTGTGACCCTTTCATAGGGCACTGCAGGATGGATTAAAGGTGGCAATTTACTGATAACTGCAGATGTCTCTACTTTGTTCTACAGTCTAAGTCATGAGGTGATTCAATTTACTTTATAGGAGTTGGATTTTGAAGATATAATGAAAAATTTTTGGTAATATAGTAGTACAAAAAAAGCACCAGCAACTGATACAACTGCTTTTTTGTGCACTACCCAACTGGTTAAAGCCAATGTGATCTTTTATGGTGACTCCTAACAAGTAGGCATTTTTGATGGAAACTTGGTAGACCCTTAACTATAGTGGTGCTAAGAAGCACTACTGTAATAAAGCCACCATTATTTTTTATGAAACATCTAAATACATTTTTAAAAGGCTATTATGAGGGCATTATTTTGAGCATCTATTTTGAGGTAATGTTTAAAAAAGTTAACATCAAATCAAATTGTAAATTAGTTTAAATATATTGCCTTAAGGACCTACTAAAGAATGTGCCACCAGACTTTAAGTGATAGTTGCAATATCCTTGTCTAAAAAAAAAAAAAAAAATCAATGTTGACTTAAACATTTTCTTTAACAGTTGTCTTTTTTTTAATCCAGTCTTTCTCTTGCTTTTTTTTCCATTGAGGGAGTCTTTTACCTTCCCTACTCACTGAGAAGTATTGACTTCGTGGTACACATTCTGAAGCATTTCTGATTTGAATATTTTTGTACATTTTTATCAATTATTAAACCTTCTCTTCTAGTGTGTACTAGTATTTATTTCTACATAAACTGCTCAGCTGTAAAGAAATTGTATGATGATTTTAAATATACTAAATCACTGAAATTTTGCTTCATCTTACCCACATAGCTAATTTACTTTCCTTTTTTAATATTTAAGAATGTTATAAGTCAATGCATCTGAGGTCCCTAGATTTGTTTTTCCTCTATGAATTACCTACAGAATATCTTAGAAAGCTAATGGTTTGAAAATACCCTTCACATGCTAACTTTTGAAGGTTGGTAATGTAATTTATATTATTTTCCTTCAGTGCAGGAAATTTTTTTTAAGTAAATAAGTAAACTTAGCATATAGTCTTTGGTATTATCTTTGTTATTTTAATTTGGACACTTTGAGAAATCCTATTTCAAGTTGGGATTTAGAAGAACAAAATGTTTTTCCCTTTCCATTCTAATGAGTTTGAACATGGGTCTGACCACAATGACATTTTCCCATTCTGCCCCCTGTGTTTGAATTAAATCTAGTGTCCACTGTTAAAAAGGCCCAAAAATTGAGGGGGAATTTGTTTCTAAATTTCTGTCTGCCAAGTCATTTTTCTGCTATAAAATATGACTTTGTAGAAAGAATTATTATCTTTGAGAAAATGTAAAATAATCAATAATTGCTTGCTTGAAATTAGTCTCCTATTGTATATTAGTGTCAAAACACATAACTTTAGCAACAGGGAGTCGTTTAGATTTAATTTTCAGAGGCCCCATTGTAATGATAGTTAATATTGCTAATCATGTCAAACACTTGACATAGTGAAAAGATCTTTAAAATATGCATTTGACATTGGCAGATATACTAATGATGTTTCACAAGAAAATTTAGAATCTGTAAAACATTGTTTTAATTACTTCCAGGAATGATTTTTAAGGTACATCTTTAAAGTTTTGATTTTTCTATTTAAATAAAAAGCTATCGATGTGTTTTAGCATGTCCTCAAAATAGATTCTGTATTTCTTATAGAGATGATCTTATTACAACCTCAAATTCCTATAAGATAAATTCAAATTCCCCTGAAAATTATTTGATCTAAAAACCACTAAAGTAGTGAACAAATTGCAACCCAAAATGCAACATCTTTGCTATAAAAGATGTAATTGAAATGACTTATTCTTTTGTCTGCCTTTGAGGATCCCATCACATGGGATTTGCCAAAAAGATCCTTTACAGTCTAAAGGCACAGGTAATGAGAACATTTTGTTTAAAAATTATGTGAATATTTTCAAAAACTTTAGTAAAAACTGAAATGTCTTAGAATTTTGTTTCTGTTAGAGTTGAACACATGTTATAACAGGAAAGTATGTTTATTTTCAGATAAAGGTAATTTATACTTTTTAGTAAAGCCTCAAAGTGTTGAGGGTTTATCTTCCCTCAGTATCATGAATACTAATGAATTATTGGATCAAATTCACCAATAGCATTTAATATCATACATAGTCAAAATTGGAACCTTAAATATTTCATGTTTTTATTTTCTCCCAGTCCATAATTTTTATGTGGGGAAAACTGAATTTGTATTTAAAGTTAGATAATTTAGCCATTCAGGTATGAAGTATGTACTCATCCTTAGTGAATTCAGATGATGTAATGCTTTTAAATAAAAGCAGTGGCCCCATCACATTTTTTCAACATAATAGCTGGCATTTCATTATCATTACCTAGAGTAGCTTCAGCATATCAATAATTCATATTTTTCAGCATATAAGAATACCTTTTATGTGTCCCAGTAAATTTGATGATTAATCACAGTATTTCATCTTTTGACTTTTACTTAATAGAGCCTCACTTCATATAACTATAAAATGAAAAAGGATTGTTCTAGAGTAAGGCAGACTGTTCATAGTGGTGGGGTGAAGAAGCTACAAACTCCTGAAATAGCTTTTGTGTGCATTTTTCTGGAATATTTCTATAGTTTTAAGCTATATAATGCATAGCTTTTATTCATTTGTAAACTTTAATTATCAATATATGGTTTAAGAACATTTGCCTAAATGCTCCTGGTTTTCTTCCAGTGCTAACAGTCAGCTAAGTGCTGGCTAGGCAGCCACTGTTGTTGCTATTTTTTTGTCCAGAAAATGGTAACCCCTTTATATAAAGATTTCTTTTAAAGCTTAGATGCTATGTAAGAGAGAACTGTTTCTAATTGAATGGTACACAAGGAAGAGTGATGAATATCTTTTTTTAATAGGATTTTAAGTATATTATGTAATTTAAACATAAATTATAAAACTAAAGAACTTCAGCTTTTAAAACATTTCTAAATAAAATGAAGTAAAGTATATTAATTCTTTTTATCTCAAATCTGGGACTTTTTTCTTTTGGAGATGTATCTGTCAGTACTAGGTAGATTTTAATTCAACTATCCTACATTCTCTAGGTAAAACCACTCATTTTACATAAAGGAAAAGCAAAATGTCACAAGTTATTTTCCTGGAACTGTATTCTATGAGGCTTATAATAATAGGCTTATCATATTCTGTGCTTCTGATAGCATGTACCAGTCTAATAATTCTTACCTCCTTATTCTTACCTTGCTCTCAAGTTTTCCAATTTTTTTGTCTTAAATGGTGACCATGTAAGTTCCTTGGTGGCAGGGATTTGTTGCATTCACTGTTGTAAATATATCCTTGTGAAAACAGACAGTGCCCAACACATAGTAGGCACTTAATAAATGTAAAATATCAGTTGGCACATGTGCTCATCCAGCACTCAGGGTACCATAATCTATATTAAAGGGCTTGAAAAGGCATTGCAATAAACCATACTAACACACCACTAAAGCCACCCACAGTCATAATAGAAATGCACCTAAAATAAGGTCTAGTGACCTTAACTGTTACTTTAGGAATGAATGTCCAAGAGCTTGTTAGTGAAAACATACAATTTAAATTCTAAGTTGAAAAATAATCATTTGGGGCTATTGTAAATAGAGGTGAATCATGACATGGCAGCTGCTCAGTTTATTGGAACTGACTTGAAGGTGAGGTGAGAAGTGAGATGATTTTGCTCCAGTTAGCCACACATTCTTGCTAGCCCTCCATTTTAGTTTGCCTACCTGGATTAAGTTTCTTAACTATAGTAGAGGCTCTATTTTTTAAACTTGCCACATAAAGACTATCAAAACTGCTTTAGTGATTCTGTTAGTGATTGGTAATTGAATTTTAATTACCCTGGGTGTGAAGTCCATGTCAACTGGCTAATCCTCCCCAACTCCAGTCACAGACTGTGAAACAGTGAGTGGCTGGCAAATCAGATCCAATTCAAACTAAGCCATTTCCTTATGCTATTCCTTAGGGTATATAAATGTGTTACTTATAAACATTTTTTTGGTCCTGCCTGCAAACTTTTTGGTAGGTAGTGGTCTTCTTGCCTACCTCTACACAGCCGAACCGAGGACTTGTTCTGAAAGGTGAGTAATAGAGGGAACAAGGTTTCTATTTTCTGTGTTTTGTAATTACCAGATTTTCACCTCTGTTAATATGTTGTTCTGATGTAAAGAACCTGATAGTTTCATAAAATTGGACCTTTTGTAAATAAATATAATTTATTAGAAAAAAGGCATCTTTTACTGAATAAGTTGGGTTTGTGTCAACTTTTTCCTGTAAGCACTCCTCATAGGCAGTAATTTTCTGTGCTGTGAGTTGCTAGATGCTCACATTCTATTTTCTCAGTGTAATTTTTGCTTTTCTTGATAAAATGTTAGACCAAAAATGTCTATCCACACTTTATTTGTGCATTTGTTTCTTGTTTCAAATTTTTTCATGGGAAGAGATGGGATATTACTTTAAAAAGAAATGGAAAACAGATTCTTTTGTATGAACTGTGCTGATAAACTCATCTTTGCAGACATTTCTGATAATAAAAATTAAGTATATTAGGGCAAATAATTTTATATCAAGTATTAAGATTAATAGTTAAGTCAATTATAAAGCTGGTATTATAAAAGTATATCTCCCAGTGTAAATTCAGGTAATTCTACAGAAAAAATTCCAGTATTTTGAGCCAAAGCAGAGTCTGATGGGGATCAAGTCCCATTCTATGTCAAAGCAGACTTGAGTCAGGAGGGTTACTTGGACTTTGCAGTGACTTATTAGAGTTAGAGGATGGGGAGTGGGGAACTAAGGGTACTTAATTGCAATTCAGAGTCATTGATAAACATCTTTTAAAAAGCAAATGTGGCCTGGCATGGAGGCTTATACCTGTAATCTCAGCACTTTGGGAGGCTGAGGTATGGGCATTGCTTGAGGCCAGGAGTTTGAGACCAGCAAGGGCAACATAATGAAACCCTTTCTCTACAAAAAATTTTTAAAATTAGCCTGGTGTAGTGGTACACACCTGTAGTCCCAGCTACTCAGAAAGCTGAGATGGAAGGTTACAATGAGCTATGACTGGTGGCACCACTCCACTCTAGCGTGGGGTATAGAGCCAGACCCTGTCTCAAAACAAGAAAACCCAAAATGACTGCTACTGGTAAATAATGCCCTGAGCCTAACTATCTTACTATTAGGCACTTGGTCTAAAACTAGAGATTCTAAGTGCAGAATTAAACTTTTCCTCACTTTTATAAAGCTTCAAATATATAACTGGTGTAGCACAAAGTGCACTAAATTGGGAACAAAGACCTAAGGCTTATACATGCTCTTTCACCTACTAGATTGGTGACCCTGGGCAAGTCGCTTAATTTTGCTATGTCATTTTCGTAGTATGCACAATAGTGTTAACAATGACTACCTCACAGCCTTGTTGTGAGGAGTAACGTGAAGATGATTGCATATAAACAGCCAACTGTGAGAAATGTAAAAGCATGCCATGGTAGTTGTGACAATTAAGTTTTTTTAAGATAATTGAAGGGTTTTCTAAAATTATAATTTCTCATTTCCATGAGAATATACTAAATGTTAAACTTTTCAGATGACTTGGTGTTATCATTAAAAATATCACTGTATGTGTGCAGTGAGGGCCAGACTGCTTGTGTGTACCTTGCCAAACTGTATGATTGTCAGGTACAGGATTACCTCTGCGTAGTTCACACATAACCTATTTATATTTGCACAACACCCTGATTAAAACACATTTTAGGGGTGGCATCTTGCCATGTGAGTGCTATTTCTCTGGAAACAATATATTTATAAAGATGATTTTGTAGATGTATTCCTCACTACCAAAATCTATTTTGTTCCTATGTTCCATACAGCAAGCAGTCAAAAGTTTATATATAGAGAGATTCTTGTTCAGTTTTACAAAATGCATTTGGATTCTGAGATAAAACAGCAAGACATACTTGTTTCTAGTAGATAAAACCCCTAAAATATACCATTGAAAAATACACATATTATAGAATAGTAGTGTAAATAGTTTTTATTTGCTCATATGCCGTGAAAAGACCAGAAAAGTAACATGAATTGCTTTTATAAAACATTTCTAATATTGCTAAGAAGCAGGCCCATTAATAGACAAACAGAAAAGAACATGCCAACATTATTGTCTCTTTGTAGAATAATAAATAGGCAATTATTTTAACATATGCACGTCAGCATTGAGTTTTGGAAAACAGCTGCTTTATGGTAAAGGTCCAACTATTTGTGTTACGTGTTATGGTCAAATTGGTATCTTCAGCAAAATGAATGTTAAGTCAACAGAAAGACAAAATCTTGGCACATTCTTTTTAAATTACACATTTATGGAAGTATGCCTCCAGGTGGCAGTTTTAAAGTAATCTTTCTGTAAATATGCTAAAGTGAAGTGTGGTAACTGATCCCTAACCTGTCCTTGTAGTTAAATATATTTAAAAAAAAAAAAAAAACCTATAAGTTAAAATAACATTCAGATTGTATAGCATAGGCTGATGCATTTTTAAACAATATTTACAATATTACCTAGAGGCTTAGGTGGGAATTAAAGAGAAGTGTAAAAACCATAAAAAACTGCACCAATTTCATAGCAAAATATCTGTACATTTAAAAAGATCATATAACTACACATTATCCAAGGAAAAGGGACCTTCACCAAGGGTTCACACAGAAGCACAACATAAAATAGGAAATTCAGTGGTTAAATACTATACAATAAACTTTACAATTAATATACTGATGTAAGATACCAAGAAGGTAAGCCAAAAGCAGAATGTATATTATGGAAAGTACAAATTTAGCTTCAGTCCAGTTTTTGACTTTGGAATGGATCAAGTGCCCTGCTAGAGAGGAAGGAAAAATAGTGGCTTAAGTGGCCATTTAGTCTCATTGCATATTATTTAAGTATATAATATCAATGTTAACATTTTTCAGTGACTTTATTGCAATTCCCTATAAGTAATCTGGGAAATGCAGGAATAATTTAGCTGTGGTACATGATACCAAATGTATCTTCTCCAATTTAGAAAAGGAAAAAAGAAATGAAAAACCCTGCGATTGTCAGAGGAGAATAAGGCCAGGTTCCTAACACTACTGTGCTAGCAGATGTAACCTTGAATACTTGTAGAACTAGAAAACTTCTCCCTGGCTAGCAAGGCACCAATTTCTATTATCAGGATCAACCTATAATGGTCCTCAGAAATCCTAATACTGATCACTGAGATGTTAATCTTAGTGCTAATAAATATATCTGCATTAAAAAGCTGCCTTAAGCTGAAGAACATAGTACTGCAAAATAAGTCTTATACAACATTTTATGCCATCATATCCTTGCATTCATACTGGTGAACCTCTCTCACAGAGCATCCTTCCCTAGCACAGAAGAAGTAGAATGTGAAACTAGAAACAAAGAGTTTTGAGTGACTTGTGCCACTGCAGTTGCATCCTGTTTGCACTTTGCTAGAGCTTGGTTATGGACCAAAGGAGTTTATTATGTGACTTTTCCCTTCTTCCATGTTGCAAGTCTTTAGAAACACAAAGGTAAGGTGATGGATATGGCTGAAACAAAATAAATTCTGATGCATCCATGTTATTTACAACTTACTGGGAAATCAGGGTGGGCCATCATGGGATAATCACAATGGCAAGTAATGGATTTAATGTGAAATTTACATTTTGGTTAAGAAAAAAATAACATACTGGTGTGTAAAAAGATACCTAATCAAATCAAATCCTATTGCTTTGATTAATCTGAGCAGGTACTTCCATTTTTAGGCACTTGTTAACATGGGTTGAAAGAAGAGCCCATCATTTTTAAATTCCTATGTGTTTACTAATTCTGAGTCCTTCAGAATATTTTATGTGTTCAAGGCTGCAGTTAAATGATAGCACATAAAGTTCACGTGGGCAGTTTAGTTCACGAACACCCTCTATTCATGCAGGCAGGTCTTGGGTTCACATCGTTATTTCCGCGCCATTAACAGAACGCAAGTTCTGATCATCAAAGCGCCGCCTGACACTTCTCCTCACCGCATCGGCTCGTCGGTATGGTTGGTTTCTAAGATCTGTAAAGAGGAGAGCTCCAATGAGAGAATAGCAACCTTTAATATCATGTGTCCAAGCAAGACAGGCCAGCTGGCAGCCAGTCAAAGCAGCTTGTGTAGAAGAGTCAGCTAATGGGCCCTTCAAACTCATCAAGCATTGAATCAAAGACATGTACATTTGCCTTCCATATTTATAATCAAACAAAATGTGACATACTACTGCTAGGATTCTGGGACTTAAAGAGAGAAAGATACATAGATTATTTTTGTCACTGGCCAGAGAGTCTAGCTGATATCTTATTTTGAATTTTTTTTTGTCAATTGGAAGCAGCTATGGATTGTTTATTGTCTTTTCTAGAAGCCCAAATATCAGCAATAATTGCAATAAGTTTTAAACTACAAAACTAATAAAACAGACTGCCCTGTCCTGTCTTATCCTTGAAGTTTTATTTTTTTTTTATTATTTATTTATTTTTTTTTTTGAGACAGAGTCTCACTTTGTTGCCCAGGCTAGAGTGAGTGCCATGGCATCAGGCTAGCTCACAGCAACCTCAAACTCCCGGGCTCAAGCAATCCTGCTGCCTCAGCCTCCCAGGTAGCTGGGACTACAGGCATGTGCCACCATGCCCGGCTAGTTTTTTTCTATATGTATTAGTTGGCCAATTAATTTCTTTCTATTTATAGTAGAGATGGGGTCTCACTCTAGCTCAGGCTGGTTTCGAACTCCTGACCTTGAGTAGAGCAATCCGCCCGCCTCGGCCTCCCAGAGTGCTAGGATTACAGGCGTGAGCCACCGCACCCGGCCATGAAGTTTTAACAAGGAAGGAGCCTCAAGGCTTTTGTTTGCAGATACAGGTTGTTATTTTCATTCCACTATGCTAGCTGAGGTTATTTTTTTATTCTGCAAAGTAGAAACATCATGCTTAAGTAACCATTAAATCTAAAGCAAACCAAGACTCCATTTCCTGAACATTCTTTTCTGCCACATTGCCTAGGCTGAAGAACTTGAACTCCTGGGCTCCAGTGATCCTCCCACCTCAAGCCTCCCAAGTAGCTGGGACTATAGGCATGCACCACTGTACCCAGCTCTACCACCTAATATTTTTTGTTTCATCAACAGGGAGAGGTTGTGTGGGCCCTCCTACATGTCCTAGTTTGTATTGCTGGTGCTAAGCAGAATGCCTGACATTTGGGGGTGGGGAAGCCTTGTTGAATGAATGAATCACTGTATACTGCTTTAAGTAGGCATTGCTCTGTTGGGATGAAGTGGAATAAACAGAGGAACTTTATGTAAGCATTCTAAAATATGAAGGCATGCTTTCTTGGATAGGGCTGGTAGCCCATATCCAGCAGGTAGCCTCCTTTTGATGGAGTCAGGGTATTGTGGGGGAAAAAAAATTAAACAGGCTTTGTACTTTTCCCCCTTGTTTTGTTTGATTACTATGTATTTCCCTTTCATTAACTTAGTATCATTAACTTCTGCTAGGAAACATTCTACTTCTACAAATAACAGAATTAACCCTTTGCACTCACTTTTTTCTCGATTCTTTTATTCTACTTGGGATTTTTTAAATACCCCAGATTTTACAAAGCATGGCAGTAGAATTAAAAACTGGAGTTTCTCTTCATACAAACTTATTTGGATCTTTTTATATTTCAAATTATTGATACATTCAAAGAGTAATTTTAATCTCTATAATTTTTGCTAACCGTGTCGAGTCACACTCAACATCCGAGTGCAAAGGGTTAAACCAGACTGAATCTTTTTTATCCCTTTATCTACTCAGTAAATTGAAAAAGGAGCTGATAGAATGTTTGCTCTACCGTACCCCCATATTTTAAAATACAGTTTCCTGATATTTAAATTTGGTAATTAGCATAAAAAACAGGGTTTCTGGCTTCATTTGAAAAATTGGAAGCTCCAGCAATAAGAGGCCCAAATGGCACAAATAAACTGGAACTGAGACCTATGTTCTCAGGTTCAGCACAGTCCCCACCAGGCCTGTTACCTTCCTGGCTCTTGAAGTACTGGAATCTGTGACCCTGCCCCACTCCTAAATTCAAGGAGGAATAGTTTTATAAGCTCTAATCTTCTCGAGCTCCTTTTTCCTCCCCAGACTGGTAATAGGTCAGAATTCCACTTTTGGCTAAGGATATGTAGTTCTGTGGTTCTTCAGTACTCTGAGTAATTAGTTCTAAAGATCCTAATACTTCAAAGGCTGTAGTTCATCTTCCCTGGCCAGGACCTGCTTTCAATCTCTTCAGCTCAAAATGAGGTTAACTGAATAACTTGAAAGCCAAGAAGGAGGTAAGGGAAAGACAGCCTAGCACTCAAAGCAAGTATCATCAGCAAATAACCCTTGCTCAAGCCATCACACTTGAGAACATAGAAGCAGGCCGAGAAAGAGTCCAACAGAGAGGCTCATGCCTCACATCATTGGAATGTGAGGTACAAAGACTTCTCCCTGGTCAGATTCTCACCAGTATTAACCTCAGCCATAGATTGAAACCATTGATCTGATACAGAGAGAGGAGGAAGCTAAGTAAAAAGTGATGCTTGCCAGCTCTGTGTATCCTCCACCACCGGTGTGCTAGAAGAAATCCTTACCCTCGAGTGAACATTTGGAAATTTAGTGATATTATTCTTCTTTAAGGCTAAACAGAAAAAAAAACAAAAACACAAAATGATGGTTAAGTAAAAATGGGATGAAAATGGAAAGCAACTCAACTTAGTGCTTAACATTCCTGGGCACGTTAGCCAACAAAGGAAGAGTGGGAGGCCATTATTATAAGAAGTGTTAGATAAAACAAGAGATGGATAAGTGCATCTTCCCACCCAGCTCTCTGACTACCCAGTTTCAAGCTGCTTTGAAGATTGGCTCCAGAAACATATCCAGCAGCAAAACTGACAGCAAACATCAGCCAAGCAGATGACAGTTTCTAGCCTGTTAATAAGCACTGGTGGGTAAGTACACTGCAGAGCAGGCAATGACACACCATGTCCTTTGAGATGTTCAGAGGTACAACATACATAACAAGTGCAATTCATAGAATAGGTATGCCACGAAATAAACACATACCCAGTTCCATGTCAATCTCAGCATGAGAGTTGATCAATGGCTGTTTCCAATTAGAGTATGTACTTCCCTTGTCTCTTTTCTAATCAACTAGGCACTGGAGAGAATTTTGTTCCTTATTAGGCATCAAGAACTAACTAAGCCCAGGAAGTTACTTTTTGGGAAAATTTGTGTTTTTTTTATTTTTTTTTTTAATTCTAAGGGCAGTGGCCTCCTATGATGATAGGTATTTGTTATCAGTGTTTCTGGTGCCACCATCTTGATCAAAGATGCAGGTCCAAATACAATGTCATCACAGAAGAAATATCCTGGGTTTGGCATGGAACAGAGCCACTAATGAAGAGGCAAGAATAAAGATGGTGGGGAGAACTTAGGCCTTTGTTTTCACTTCCTGCCTTACAGCTTGCTCCAACATGGATTGCTGTTCAACTTGGGCATGACACTCAGAGGGAATAGAGGTGACCTGCCCAGGGTAGGGTGCTGTGAGGCTACAGCTTGCCTAAATCAACACATTCAGATTTTCTAGATCAAAAGAGCTCCCTCTATTAAGCTCATATTATGAATTCCATCATACTATGGACTACAGGAGACAGTTAAAGAAAAGAACAGTTTACAGCTGTGTGTAGTTCATCATTCCTTCTATAAATTATCTTGCAACTTTAGAGCACTTTGCGTTCCTGAGCACTTTTGTACAGCAGGTCAATTTACTATCAAAGCATGTTAACTGGGTACAAAGGAAAGGGGTTAATATTAGGTCATTAAATATGAAATGTCCGATTTCTAATCAAAAATGTAGTTTATTATATCTCAAACAAGAAGCAGTACAATTAATCAAAGTATACACCTAAACTATGAACACAGTTTTGTCATCTTAATGGTAGCTTGCTTATGCCAGCAGCGAAGAAGCCTACAGAGCAAGCAAGTGGCGATAAAATCATGAAAGCGTTTTCCACAGCTTGAGAATTGAATATTTTCCCTTGCAAGAAGTGGTCCAAAGCCTGGAAAAAGTGGCAGTTAGTTGGTCTCAAGGTCTGGTGAATATAGTGGATGACAAAGAGTTTCCAAATCCGGCTTCTGTAGTTCGAGCAGCATTGTTTGTGCAACATGCAGTCGAGTGCCGTCTTTGAAGAGGATTGGCCTGTCTCTACTGCCCAACCTTAAGTGCTTAACTGCAAGCATCCTCAAGATGCCTGGTCCAGTTGGTTGTGGTAGACATCCGCTGTAATCAACTGACCAGGTTTCGTGAAGCTGTAGTGGATAATACCGGTGCTGGACCACCAGACACTATTAGCTTTTTTTTTTTAAATAAATATTTGATTTTTGGACTGTGTTTCAACACTTCATATTTTTCCAACCATTGTGCCAAATCCTGTGACTGTCAAAAAGAATCCATTTTTCATCACATGTAACAATACAGTGTAGACCTAAGCACTCGAAGGCCAAGGCAACAGAATCGCTTGAGCTCAGGAGTTCGAGACTAGCTTGAGCAAGAGCGACACCCCATCTCTACTAAAGACGGAAAAATTAGCTGGGTGTGGTGGCACATGCCTGTAGCTACTTGGGAGGCTGAGGCAGGAATATCTCTTGAGCCCAAGAGTTTGAGGTTTCCGTGAGCTATGATACCGTCACTGGACTTTAGCTGGGGTAGCAGAGTGACATCCTGTCTCAAACAAAAAAAAAGTACAGTGTAGAAATGGTTCACCTTTATATTGTGACAGCAAAGAAAGGCAAGCTTCCAGCCAAATTCTCTTCTGATGCTCGTTTAATACATACGGAACCCATCTATCCGGCTTCTTTACCTTGCCGATTTGTTTCAAATGGTCCAATATTGTTGGAATAATAACATCAGACCTTGCTGCTAATTCACATGTAGGTTGAGATGGATTTGCTTCGACTACAGCTTTCAGCTCATCATTATTCACCTTGATCTCAAGATGCCCACATGGCTCATTTTCAAGATTAAGATCACCAGAACCAAACTTCTGAAACCATTGACGTACTGTGCATTCATTAGCCACATCCTTCCCAAACACTTCATTGATATTTCGAGCTGTCTGCACTGCGTTGGTTCCATGACGGAACTCATATTTGAAAATAACACAAATTTTTGACTTCCCATAGTTTCACAAAAATTGCTCTAAAAAAAAAATGTGAAAGATAATCACAAGCCAAAATGTGCGTTTGAAAGACTGAGGATGTACCTTCACAATATGACGATGTACCTTCACAATAAAAATAAAACAAGAAGTGTCAGAGTGAAATGTCAGAGATACCAACTGTCAAACTTAGTACTTCAGGAAATGGGACATTTCATACATAATAACCTAATATATGTAAACCTATTAGAACACAATAAGTGCTCAATAAATGTTAGGTAGACAGTAGTTATTGTTATTAAAGACTATCATTTTGTGTTCAAAGATGTATCTTAAAGACAATCTACTTGGTCCCAATCCTGATTCTCAAAGAAGTACTCTATTTACTATTTTTCAGAAAATTTCTGCAAACAATTCATTAATTCAACTGTTACATACACCCAGACCCGTCACCATAATATGAATACACATGTGTACTGAAAGTGTGAGTGAGGAGTAATGACTGAGATGCAAAAACCATGCAGCACAAGGACAACACAAAACATAACGTGATGGAGATGGCAATTCCATGCTAGAATGGTGATTGGCCCTGATGGACACACAGAGGGTGACATAGAGGTCAAAAAACCTGTAGCAACCTTTTAAGAACGTCAGGTGAGAAAGAGTAATAGTTTAGTAATGGTACTCCTCAGTGAGAACAGGTTCGCAGAAAAACCGAGAGCCACGCTTGGCGGTGCGAGCAGTAAAGGGCACAGTCTTCAGCACTGCATGGAAAACGACAGCCGAACAACACAAACAGAAGAGAGAGAGAGAGAGAGAGAGTAAAAAGCCAAAATCTACTGCATTAGTACATGGTTAGTGCTTTGTTAATCATTCCCAGGGGTGGAGTGGGGGAAAGGGCAGGAAAGGGGAAGGGAATATATACTCAAATTAGTTCATAAAAGTCCAAAAGAGTTCATCTGGGGCTTGGGAGTGGGGCAGAAAATGGAAAATACTCCAAGGAGAATAAAAATTGCCTTATAAGTAGATATTCATTCACCTCCTCTGGTAGATTGATGGTTTAGGTCGGGCAAATAGAAAATGTACGTTCCATTCATTTTATACAGCCAGGTGTCATTGGGATAGAGAACATACTAATGAAAAAGGAACTCCAAGTTCTTAATGTGCAGGGCTGGATGCTTCCCTACCTACAAGTTAATTCTGTGGCACTGAGACCAAGATGTGCTTACCTAGGAAGGAGATCTCTTCCTGGTCTTGCTCAGAGTAGAGTTTCTCCTCCAGTGTGGTGGAGGCAAGGAGAGATGCTAAACAATGGGGGCTTTACCTGGGCTTTATCTGCAAGCCACTGCAGGGTGTACACTGAGATACCAATTGGCACGTGTGTGCACAATGTGTGTGCACCGTGTGTAAAAAACGGCATTTTACCAGCCACTGTCCTACTGACTCAGGACTTACACTGCTTTAATCTGACAAGGGATTTTCTTATTGACTTCCTTTTTAATGTATCTCATCTATCTAATTATCTATTTAATGTTCCTGGGTCTGAGTTGTTGAGAAAAATCTGTGGTTTTGGCAGTTTGGGATCACAATTTATAATGCTAACGAAGCTATAACAAGAAATAAGACATCAAAAGTCTAGAAATTATATTTTTAAAACTGAGGACAATTTGGGGAAAATGTGAATAATGACTAGATATTTAATACTAAGGAACTGTTAGGTTTGGGGAAGTATGATAAAACTGTGGGTGTATTTTTGTTTATAAGAGTCCTTATCTTTTGAAGACACATACTCAAGTATTTATTTCCAAATGAAATTATGTATCTTGGACTGTGCTTCCAAATAATCCCATGGGTTAGGCATGGCGGGGTGGGGGTAGGGCACACATATACAGGATTGGTTATGAATTGATAATCGTTGAAATAGATGAGGGGTACATGGGACTTCATACTGTTCCCCATCTGGAAGTCGATAACATTCATGTGCAACAGACATGAAAGAAAAGTCACTGTTACAAGACGGTGGCTCAAGTTATCATTCTGATCTATAAGAAGATTTACAGAAACCTGGGAGAATTGGTTCAAGGAGAAAGCATTAAGCTAGAATTTAATTGGACAACAACCAAGCTGGGTTAAGCACCATTCTTAGCTAATAGAACCAACAGTCTTCAACCCTGGGCTAGAAGCCTGTTGGCTCATCCCAATGAAAGTACCTCGTGACTTTAGCTACTGTGAATGAGTAAAGAGGATTTTAAAGAGCAGGCATGGACTGTGGTTAGTGCACAGCTCAATGGGTCTTATCCACAGTACTTATTTATTAATCAGGCAAGTGGGTAGGAGTGGCTGTGAGGAGGGAAATGGAACATGATGACAAATTGAAAACAATGGAAAACCATCAGGAGAAGGAGCCCTGTGGAAGCCTACAGGAACTCCAAGTTCTTAATGTGCAGGGCTGGATGCTCAGATATTGAGAAATGGATTTTTCAGAGAGTGTTGGGACAGTATACATGTTACTATAAATATATTTCAAACCCTAGCATGGAGTCTCTCTGCACAATTCTGGATCTGAATAAAGTCAACTTGCCAACCCTGGACAAAAGCAGCTGCAAATCTGCATGCAGCACAGTCCAGGTGAGGCCAGTGGGATCTCCATGGGTCACAGTGAGGAAATATCCTTTACCTGTGATAATATCTTCAATGGCACCATCTTTTCCCTCATATACATGTCTGTTATCTTTAACTTGTCGCCTTCTTAACTCCGCGATTAACTCTTGCTGCTGTCTCTTTGATTTATGGGAAGGAGACTGAAAAGAAAGAAGGGTAGATGTTAGCAGGGCCAGCAACCACTGGGGAGTTTGCGAAAATTCATAACGCGCCTGAGCATTATGTCACTAATAAGCAGCCTTAGCCAAAAACACACACGACACCGTCCCAACATTCTGCTCAAACACAGACAAAGTCAGAAGCTTCTGGGAAGAAAACAGAAACTTTCACAGAAGCACACACAAAACTCCACCTAGCAACAATGGGAAACTGGCAACAAGAGGCAGCTGGGAGGAACCACAGGCTCCTTAAACGCTGGTGCAAAGGATCAGGATGAAGAAAAGTTTAGCTTGTCAGCCTTTTACGATCTTTACCTACGATGCCACCTTCCAGCTATCAAGGCCAGCACCCGTGGGCATCCACACAAAACCTTCTCTGGGTGCTAAGCCTTCTAGTCACTGGGCCCTCTGGTGTGGCCTCTCTGCATATCCAAATAAGATTTAAGTGCCAGTTCTCTATAAACATAGAAATGCTACACATGCCTCATTCCAGCAGGAGCTGAGCAGGGTAATGAATGCACAAATTTCCATTTGCCATGTTTCCACACCAGAGAAGGACAAGGTAAGGGTCCCGACTGAGCGCATCTGGCCGGCTGCCCTGCTTGCCAGAGGCGCCATCAGGCCTCTCCCCACGGGGCGCCCATCACAGGGGCCTGGCACTTCCTACCTTTGGGTCCTGCTGCTCCATCAGAGCCTCTTGCTCCAGGAGTTTTTCCATGAGGGCTTGTTCCTGCTTTTTCCTCAGCTCGTTTTCCTCCTCTGCTTGCTGGGTGAATCAAAAGGACCAAAAGGATTGTGTCACTGGAGATGACAGTAGTTAGGAGTTTTAAGTCATTCTTCAAGAATCCTTAGTGAGTCAGGAATGAGAATGAATGGAAGGCTGAGGAGACCTGCACTTGGCGCCCATGTGTAACACTGATTCTGGGTCTTACTGTCCATCTACTCTTCAAAAGCTGGGAGTTGAGATTTGCCTCATGCAGAAGTCCTCTCCTGACGTCTCTTTCTGCTCGAACTGCCTCTTAGTCTCAGTCCCACATGTCGGAGGAGGGGACCTAGCCTTTTGGCAGCTGTGCTCAGTGATTTTCATGCGAGTTTGTCTCCCTTCCAGAATCTGTCCACCTACCTGCAGCTTCTCTGAAAGCAGATGTAAGATCCCTGTGCTGCTTGCCCATTGCTGGGGGGAACCTCTGTTCCCTTGGCCTCTTGTTTCCTTTAGGGGCCTCACTGCAGTGACACTCTTGGGCTCTCTCCCCATAGCTTACTCCTTCCCAAAGGAGACAGAGGGACTAACTCGTCTGACAAATCCAGGAGAAGACACTGAACAGGCTCGCCTCAGCACAGCCCTCCTGGGCCCTCCCTGAAGTGACTTCTAATTGTCGAGCTGCAAAGTGATGCAAAGTCATCTATCTGATTGTGGGCTGAAGTTCACAATATTACATCCTCCAACCCAGCTTTTATCAGTAATAAAATTTACATCTGGGTCTCTTAAGCTTCACTTTGGTTCATACTTGGGAAGGGAAAAGAGGGACCATGTCCTAAAACCCCAATCTCTACCCACAAAGTCCCCAGGTCAGTGCCAGGAAGGGAGGTCACCCCTCACATTCAGAGCAAGGAAAACATCCTGCGACTGGATGCGGTGGCTCACGCCTGTAATCCTAGCACTCTGGGAGGCCGAGGCAAGCGGACTGCTCGAGGTCAGGAGTTCAAAACCAGCCTGAGCAAGAGCGAGACCCTGTCTCTACTATAAATAGAAAGAAATTAATTGGCCAGCTATTACATATAGAAAAAATTAGCCAGGCATGGTGGCGCATGCCTGTAGTCCCAGCTACTCGGGAGGCTGAGGGAGGAGGATCGCTTGAGCCCAGGAGTTTGAGGTTGCTGTGAGCTAGGCTGACGCCACGGCACTCACTCTAGCCTGGGCAACAAAGTGAGACTCTGTCTCAAAAAAAAAAAAAGGAAAACATCCTGCAAAATCACTGCCTGTCTCAGTGAGTGGCTGAGAAGACCACAGAGAGGAATGACAAGGTGGAAAGGGGAGTGCTGATGGACAGGTTGTGACTGTGACACCCCTCAGACCACCCAGGGCAGCTTCTCTTTTCTTCTGCTCCACACGTCAGGCTTTGTGACCAATCCCACCACTTCCCAGCCCATCTTATCCAATTTTAAAATAGCATGTATTTTCCCTTTTGACTTCAGACTTTCAAGTTTTTATGTTGAGAAATGTGGTCACAGCACATGACGAGCCACTTTAGGCCGTCTCTGAAGCACACAGCACTGCCAGCCAGTGGGCTGTCTGGTGGCCAGCAACATTCTCATGGCTCCCTGTTCTCAGTGTCTCACACGTGGAGTTTGCGCTGTGTTTGTGTTCATCCTCACTGCCACGGACACCTCCCTTCTACTAGCAGCCTGTGACATCTCTGCTCCACTAAGCCACGCTGAGAGAAGACGGCCAAATATTCTGACCTTTGAAGTTTCAGTAAAAGGCCCAAGAATGATTCTCCAAAGCATCGGCCCCTGGTGGTGTTAGGGAAATGTCCCCAGTTTCCAATGGGATTTTTCTCAACAGTGTAGACAACCCTGCCACATCCCTCCTCCCCTCTGCAATAAACACTCCTCCCTCCCCCACCACCGATAACAATCTTATATGTAGACAAGCCTGGATTGTGGGGTTTCCTAGGTGGGCTAAAATCTTCTAACACCCTTTTTGTCTTTTCTCAAAAGACAATTTCCTCTGACCCATGCCTCTTTGGGTCACACGCTTTTTCAAGACCTGGATTATGTCCCTCTGTAAAGGAAGGGCCATTGGTTGATCCAGATAAAGAAATAGAGGGCGACTATCTTTAACAGCATCATCCTTCAGGCTATACTAGAGAGATGTTGGTCTCACGGGCCTGCGGGCCTGGGCCAGGACTAACACTCTCCCCGCCCTCAGCTACCACAGGCACCTTTGCACCGCAGCCCAGGGTTCACTTCCACCCGCTAAACACCTCCATGGGAGGCCTGAGTTTTCTAAGTCCTTCCCCTTGCTTGCTTGGGTGAATGGTCAACGGGGCACCAGTGGTCTTGGAGCATCCTGCTTGCCCCATGGGGACAGACAAGAGCTTTTGTTTTCTGGCTGAGGCCCAAGATTGGCTCGGTGGGGAAGGGGCATCCGGCCTGAGGGCCCCAGGAGCTCCCAGCCGCCCCAGGGCCAGAGACCGCTGTCTCAACACAGACCACCCGGATCTGCTACCCAAAGGAGCTAGGTGGCCTCTGCGGAGCAGGTGAGACTCAGACACATTTCAAGGATGGCACCTGCTTGAGAAATAATGACAAGGAGGGCGTTAAAGGACCCTCTCCTCCAATTTACCTTATATGCTTTCACAAACCGGACGAAGACAGGAAAGAAGACGGAGGGTGGCGTTGTCTTGGGGTTTTCTCCAAAATACTTCACGACATCATCAAAGGCATCCTGTGAAGCAGCAAATTTCTCTTGAATTTCATTAGTTCCTATACTTGAACTTGATGCTCCGGGGGCAGAGCTGAAGCAAAGCAGCAGCCACGAGACAGTGGCTCCCGCAGCCTCCCACCGATGTAGCCTCCCTCGCCTCTCTACAATTTTCTGCCTCCTCAGGGGCAACCAGAGGGGTGTGACAGCGGGACACAGCAACTCATCTCCAGGTCCTCCTGCCGCTTCTACAGACTCACATGCACCCACGCAAAACGAGGACCCATTTCTTCCAAGAGTTGCCAAGGCCCTGGTAGAACCCCTTAAAACCAGCAAGGGGGAAAAGGATTGTAGAAGTCACTCTCTGTATCCCAGTCGTCTGCTTCATTGCTCCTTATGATGTCCCCACACAGGGGACACTCAGGCTCTGCGTACACACTCTTCTGTGATGTAAGACTGCCCCAAACTGGAGGCCATTCCATCTGCTGAGTTCTCCCAACACTCTGCCTCAGTGTCCTACAACGATGTGCAGTTCATTCTGTTTTGCGGGTTTGCCTACACATCGGCAACCCCTGGGGTAGTGTACGATTCTGAGGTCAAGATCTACAGAACGAGGAACACTGCTTTGCTGAGCTCAGGCCTCACATGGGTTGGCTGAACCAAATCCAGGACCCATGCTGGAGGGAGTGTAGGCGTGGAAAGAGGGGCTGGGAGGGCCTTTGCAAAAGAGGGTTAAGTCCCCGAATTAGTAAAGGACAACACTGGAAACAATCCCATAATAATTATCAGCTACATAAGACATCTACCCTCCAGACAGACAGAAATGGAATGTTTCTTCCCCCAACCCCGGGCCTGTGCCTCAGGTGGCTTTAAGGGGTCCAATCTCTTCTCTGCAGGTGCCGAGGGCACCGGGACTCACCTGTGCGATCTTGGCATCGTCCTGCAGCTTCTTCAGCTTTCCCTCGTTGTTGAGGATGAACTCCTTCAGCAGCGTGTTGTGGTCGTGCATGGTGTACTCCCTCTTGGTCAAGTCCATGCCCCTCTGGAGCTCCTTGACGTCCAGTAGAACATTCTCAAGGGAGACTGAAGTAGACAAAGCAACGTCCCAGTGAATCTCAGCCGGGAAAGCCAAAACCATGGTGAGTCTGGCTGCTAAGCCAAGTTCTCAATAGATTCTTAGGCTGACTCAAGAGCCCTAGAGGTCTAGTTTTCAGCTTTTAGCAGAGAGATCCTTTAATAAGAATAATTCACAAAGTGTTTACTGCCACGCACTGCATTAAATTCTCCGTGCGCACTAATTCATTTGCACCATTAGCCCATTCTGTCAGAGGAAATGCAGCATGAAGAGGTCACGTGGCGGCCCTCAGTCACACAGCCAGTAGATGGCAGAGAAGTCCAGGCAACAAACATGGACTCTAAACCTTGTGCTGGCGCCCAACTATTCCATGTCTCTTACAGGAAATAGCCTATTAGTCGGCCTGTAGATTTGGAGGTCCTTATCTGTGACAGGCCCAAGATCTTTTATCCTCTACCTCTTTTAACGCCTTTGCATTTCTGTGACTCTCCAGCAGGGGGCAGCATGTGGTCTGTTGACAGTAGGTTGTATTGACCACTAGGACCCAAAGCAACCTTGAACAGCTTCTTTAACAACCCTTCCCTGCTTCAGAAAGGTTTGGCATGAACCTATCCATATGCAGTGTGCCACCTCCTAGAACAGGCACATTCCTAGAGCCTCCCGAGCCAACCTCGCCCACGGAGGTCAGACCCCACCTCCGGCTCCCCATTGCCCGACTCAGCTCTCCACGTGGAAGAATTACAAAACATCCCCCTCACTAGACTCACACTGTCTCGTTCATCTTTGATTCTCCAGTACTTATGATAGTACCATGAAGGTACACAGAAGGCGTTCAAAAGTGCTCACTGGATAGATATATGGAGTGAATACATGAGTGAAGGTATAAAGAATCTGCATTGGCCAATCAGGGCAGCCGAGAGCAAACAGAACAGTTACCAGGAGGCACCCCAGGCTCCCAATTTTTCCCACTGATTTTTTTTTTCAATGATACTTTTTGGGAATCCCATTTGCCACCCCCACCTCCCAAAAAATGAACTACACTAATTAGTAGACATTTACTTTTTATGACTTTTTTAAAAATTAGAATTATGATACTTAAGAACCTCTAATTTAGGCAAAGGGAAACTTGAAAGGAGGAAAACTACTCTACTGGAACAGAAATTCTGCTGACTGCCTAAGTGAGCCCCAAGCCCTCAGCAGGCCTGTCCAGCCTGCACTGCACAGTTCTTCAGTCACAAATAATTTCCGTCTGCCTCTCAGTCTCCACTAGGGCTCTGGCAGCATCCATCCCAGTAACAGTGTATCATCTCATTCATTCACTTGTTTGCTCGCTCATTCATTTATTCTCAACATCCAATTTGCCAGGAACCGAGGGAATTATAAAGATAAATAAAAAAACCCCATTATATCCTTAAGAAGTATATAGGATGCAATCAGTGTGCAAATTTTTATAATAAAATCTGAGAAATCTTGTACAAGAGGGTAGTACGGAATGTTCTTTAGTAAGAAAGAAGCAGAAGCAGCAGCCATTTACCCTGGCAGAGGAAGTCACAGAAGGCCTGCCCTCAAAAATTCTATTAATCTGGGATAGGCCTGGGATCTAAATTTATAATAAATACTGGCTGCTTATGGTTCAAGATCACCATTTGAGAACCACAGCCTGTAACTAACTCCAAGGTCAATTTGCACATTGTTCCTTTTTTCTAGCCTAATATTCTTTTGGGATGACATGGTACGTTGGAAGATACACTATATGAGAAGTCAGAAGCCTTGGGTTCAAGTCCTGTTTCTATCACTTTCTACCCATGTGACCTTGGGCATGACATTTAACCTCTGAAAATGTCAATTTTCTCACCTATAACATGGGGATACCAGTACCTTGTACATCCCAGCTATTGTAGAGTCACCGATGATTTAAATGAGGAAATGTATCACTGTCATAGCAAAGCAGCAACCAAGGACTGATAGTTTAACTAGTATTCAAGGCAAAGGTAAAATGTTTAGAACTACCATACCTGAGCAAGTGAAATGGCATGAAATCAAATCAAAAGTGTTTGTTGGGGTGGCAATTCTCAGATTCTCATTCTCATATTTCATACAACAGTAAAAAAGAGCATTGAGGCCGGGCGCAGTGTACTCCTAGCGCTCTGGGAGGCCGAGGCAGGCAGACTGCTCGAGGTCAGGAGTTCAAAACCAGCCTGAGCAAGAGCGAGACCCCGTCTCTACTATAAATAGAAAGAAATTAATTGGCCAACTAATATATATTAAAAAAAATTAGCTGGGCATGGTGGTGCATGCCTGTAGTCCCAGCTACTCGGGAGGCTGAGGCAGGAGGATCACTTGAGCCCAGGAGTTTGAGGTTGCTGTGAGCTAGGCTGACGCCACGGCACTCACTCTAGCCTGGGCAACAAAGCGAGACTCTGTTTCAAAAGGGGGGGGTGAATAAAAGAGGGAAGGTATACAGGTCTCAAAGGCCTGGATCATTTCAGAGTGGACACACAGGGATCACCTTCATGCCCACGTTCACTACTGCTCTCGGGGTTGGGCAACACCACAGCCAACGTGTTCCAGCACAGAGCTGCTTCACATCTTCACCTTGGCTTTTTAAATGGGTTCTCAAGAGTATTGTTTAAGCAAGGAATGATTTCCCCAAGATTAAAGGCATTAAATACTTAAGAGTAATGTTAATAGCTGAAATCAAGTACCTGCAGCAGCCTTTTCCACATAATGAAGCTCATTATAAAATAGGGTCACTTGGTGATATTTTTCTTTTACAACATTTGATATATAGTGCAACAGCGTTTGCTTCCGGTCTGTTGACTTTGTATCTAAGAGCTGAAAACAGAAGGGAACACAGGTTAGGTGCAAGAGCAAAGGATGACAGGAGAGCTACCCAGCAGATGATTTCTGACCCACAGTAAATAACTGTGTGCAGTCACCCACAGGTGACAAAAAACATTCCCAGAGGAGATTCAAGAATCAATTTGTTTTTTAGTGACAGTGCTAAACTTTAGGGATAACTCAGCACCTCAGAACGGCTCATATCTTTCATCTACAGTTGTTCCCCCTTCTCTGCGGTTTCACTCTGTGGTTTCAGTTATCCACAGTCAACCACGGTCCAAAAATATTAAGTAGAAAATTCCAGGAGTAATTCATAAGTTTTAAATTGTGCACTACTCTGAGTAGCCTGACGAAATCCTGCACTGTCCAGCTCTGTCCTTCCTAGATCGTGACTCCCCCCTTTGTCCGGCGGATCCATGCTATAGACGCTGCCTGTGGGCCACTTAGCAGCCATCCAGGTAATCAGATTGTCACCCATCGCAGTGCTTGTAATCAAGTAACCCTTATTTTACTTGATTATTCTATTTTATTATTAGTTATTGCTGTTAATCTCTCATTGTGACCAATTTATAAATTAAACTTTATCATAGGTGTGCATGTATAGGGAAAAAACATAGAACACAGACACTGAGGGTTCGGTACTGTCTGAGGTTTTAGACATCCAGGGGGTCTTGGATCATATGCCCCATAGAGAAGGGGGGACTGGCTACTGCACTTACATGAACTCTCCCAACCCTGCACACCTGCTATCCCCCTTCCCCTGGCTTGTAAGCAGGAAGATTCTAGTTTCAGTGCTCTTCACAGCGAAGGGCCAGAGGAGAAGTGGAACATGGAGCCTGCAGGTGAATGCAGGTGCCTCCTATGGGGCAGGTTCCTCCACCACACTTTTTACATTTAGCTCAGCTCCTGCCTTGTTCCCTTGCCTCTGATGATCCAAAACGGATATGCAGGGGGCCAGAACTGTGACTGACTGGACACTCCCTATCAAATGACCACATCTCCCTGGCCTAGGGACTCGAACCTGCCCGATCATCTCATGTGGCAATCACATTAGCCCTGCACAACCTGGAGAGAGGCCCATGAAGGATTTCCTTGAGTCTTGTTCATCTAAGTCAGGTGACTCTAAAAAGTAGACTACCTTTCTCTGTGCAGCAGCAAAATATATATATATATATTAAAGAAAATACAGAAAAGTATTTTTTAAAAAGCAGTTTGAAAAAATTCCTTTAATATTTTAACCTATTTCTAGTCTTTTTCCCTATATATTTTACTTAGGTGAAATTAAACTATATATGTATATTAAGCTGTATATGTATATGCCTGCTTTCTTCTTTAGACACATAGTTATCCATTTCTTTGAGTACTCTTCATAAATATTTTAACAGTTGAAGGATAGTTCACTCTGTTAGCTATTGCTATAGCATATTTAATCATTTCCCACTATCGCTGGACTTTTCAAACTGTTGCTAATTATTTGCAATTATAAATAAAATATAACATTCATAATTCAGACATTTGAGAAAAAATTCCTAGAAATGGAAATACTGGGTGAAAGGGTATGAGTATTTATAGGTTCTAAGTGCTTACTGTCAAATGCTGTTCCAAAAAATTTGTGCCAGTTGATCCTCCCACTGGCAGAGAATCTTCATCAAAACATCCCACCCCCACTGCCAAGAGCAGACTCTCCCCCTCACCCCCAGGACTTAATCTCTGCCGGCTGTTTGTCCTTCACATAGCTCTCATATTTCCTTTAGTCCACTCACCAGATCTAAACTCTGAAGTTTAAATCCATAAACTGCTCCTCTTTTACTGCTATTCATGTAGTTTCCAAGGGCCAAGATGATCTGCAAGAGAGAGACGGAGAGAGAACCTTATCAGCACAGCACCCCAGGCACTAGAATACAGCAGACAAGGAAACTCTTCATATATGTATACAAGGAAAACTTCACTTGCCTCCAGAATTTTCTTGAGTTTCTGGGATGACTTTATAGAGACAGATGCTGCTATAATTGCATGTAGTTGCTAGATTCCAATCAGAGAAAGGAAAAGAGAGAAAAAAGACTTGTCAAAAATTAGAAACTAAAAATTAACACAGAAGAAAATAGGTTTGCATTTAGAGCATGAAGTCTTAATGATGACATTCTACTTTTCCTAAGCATTAATCATCCTGCTATGTCTTAGGTTACCTTGCGCACAAGGTCTTCTCTAAAACTATTCACCATAACAAGTAGCATAAGAACTTATCACAAAATCTGTAACCATAACCAGCAAGATTCAGAGTTAAGAGTCAACAGCTTCTTCTAGTAGAACTCAATTCCCTGCTCACCACCTCTAATCATGTCATACAATTTATATGTTTAAATCAACGGAGCCATCAAGAATGAAAAAAAAAGCACAGAGATACAATACCCTTCACACATTCTCAGAACATGTTTATACTATTATAATCAGTAACTAATAAGTTTATTTTGAAACAGAATTGGGAAAGAACTGAAGTTTATGATATTCATAAGTCTCCACCAGATTAACACAAGAGAATGAGAGATGGTTGGCTATTATTTCTACATCACCACAGTCTACTATAAACAAACTTCCAACAAAGAAAACTCTCATGGTGAATTTAATGCTTCCAACGAAAGCTTAGAAGTCTGCTCACTAAAAATATGGATCATTTTTAGAAATGAAAGCCACATTTGCAGTTCTCCCAGCCCAGCTGGAGGTCTAGCATCTTCAGGAGGGAACCAAATTTGGGTTTTCCTTGTCCTCTGTGCTGAAGTCTCTTTTGAAACCCAGAGAACATCTGTAGCCACCAGGAAAATGGCAATATGGAATACAGAAATCTGCCATTTTTCAAATTTACTTTGCATATTTAATGTGGAAAATCGTGTTGAAAATAAAAATGCAATCTAGAAAGTTCTGGGAAGGAGTCTTTAGAGCCCATCACATTGAGTACAATTCAGGGAGAAACTTAAAAAAAGATTCTATATCTCTTGGGATCCCCTCCCCTTCCAGAATTGGTTCACTCACAGGAGTCAGCATCTGAATGCTTTCAGCAAAGTTCCCAATGAAAGCCATGATGGTCATCTTCTGCATGAGCCTCTCGATTTTGCTGAACTGCATCATGAACCGATCTTCATCCGACAAGTTCTCCAGGGGCTTCCTTTCCCGCTCATAGAGCCGAAGCACTTTCACCTCATTCTCAGTTGGCAAGAATCGCATCAAACATTCTACAAAGTCTACAGGCAACGTCTTCAAGTCAAATCTGAAGACAGAGGTGGACACATTAGCATCAGAAAGAAAACCTCCCACCCCTTTTTCACCACATATCCATCTGGTCCAGCCCACCGATGACCAGGTGAATGAATCTACAATTTCTACAGCTGTGCGGGGAAGCCCCACCCTGGCACTGGTTCCTGACTGTGCATCAGGTACCTTACCTGGTTCTTCTTGAACACCTGGACCTTATCACTATTGCTACCCTCAGTTTTTAGGCTTTGGCATAGCTCTAACCCTCTAGAAATCAAGAATAAATGACAATAGGAAGAGGTAGAATGAAGGCTGAAGCACCAGTGGCTTAGGTGGCTCGAGGTCACAGTTTATAAGCACTGTGAAGTACTGCTAATTAAGGACATTAACACTGTACACGTTATCATAGAGTATCTGGTGAACACTGTCCAACATTTCAATTAAACCAATAATCTGGAATTATTTTTTTCTTCTTTGGGAAAAAAATGCACCCAAATACCTGTACTAAATGAATGTTTTGGGTTAAGTGCATAAATTTATTGAAGGAATACCAGGCCTTCATGGATGTATGCGCTTACTTTGAACATAGGAAGTTTTTGCTACCACCTCTATTCTCAATTATTTTCTGTACAATCTTTAGCTAAATAATAGAATTACATTTCATCACCATGACAACATGGCATATCAAGATTGAAAACCAGGCTGCCTATCAAAGTTTCAATATCAGAAATCAGAACAGACCATAGGAGGCAATATACTGTTAGATTTCGACCCTGGCTAAAGACATGAAATTGGAACAGAGAGATTTCTCAGGGTCATCTATACCTCTAAGAGTCTCTAATCAAAATTTGTGAAATGCCAGTTTATGAAGAATTACCTCCTAAAACATTTTATAACATCCTTATCACACGTGAAAGTCATCGTGGCCACAAGAGCAGAAAATCCTTCAAATAGAGAAGTAAAAACGATGCCTTCTATACAGTTCAAGAATAAAAAATGAACTTTATTTAAAATGTCCTGAAAGTTCTAAAACCAACAGAATTCACATTCCTATTGCTATGAATTAAAATATGCAACTATATCATATTTGCATCTGGCCTTGAACTGTATCATTCCACAAATGCCATCAAATTTGTATTCAATAAATCTGGATAAAATCCAGATACTCCCAGAGAAAACCGACATTTTCTCCCTTTTCTTAACATCTGCAACACTCAGCTCAACTTTCCTTTCATGTAAGCATTGCTGTTGGCCTACACAAGAGAGCAGACAAAGATAATAAATGATGTCACAATCCAGATGTTATTCTTCTAAAACAAATAATTGCCCACTTTAATACACAGCACTCCTTTGGGGAATTTCTGGTCCACCTCTTTGGTGTTAGCATCTTATTCGATTCTGAAGTAGCACATATGGAATAAGGGGAATCTCTGAAGTGTGGACATCAAGAATTGCTCCACCTTTTATCTTAGGTCTTGCCTCACTATTGAAATATTTCTGTAATCTAGTAATTCATAACTTTCTTTCCACTTTCATTTTGATTCTAAACTTACTAGGATAGAATTTTCCAGAATACCCTGCACTTACACATGAATAGCTTTGCATATCTCGTCAGCGGTCTTCCCGGCTTTCCTTAGCGTTATGGCAAGATTTTTGGCTCTGTTTGCTTCTAGTAACGTCACTTTGCTTGATCCCTTCTGTGTTATCTTCTGTTTGCTTGAAGAGAGATCAATGGCAGGACCTTGGGCTTTTGTCTTGAATATTTCCTCAAATTCATCCACATTTAAGTCCTGAGGTAGAGAGGGATGACATTGGCAAACTGGACAATACTTAAAAATTAAGCAAAAAGCCACCATGTAGACAGTTTCCTTAGCAAAGACCTTCATTTTTCTATTAAGTACTTGTCTCTGGCCATTGCTTGATCTATTTTTCCCATTTTTGTTAGAGTGCAGAAGTTGAAGGTCTAAAGCAGACTACCCTCCCAACCAGCCAATGTCTACTGCCTTTTAATAATTAGCTTGTATAGGCCAGGCGAGGTGGCTCACGCCTGTAATCCTAGCACTCTGGGAGGCCGAAGCGGGTGGATTGCTCGAGGTCAGGAGTTCAAAACCAGCCTGAGCAAGATCGAGACCCCGTCTCTACTATAGACAGAAAGAAATTAATTGGCCAACTAATATATACAGAAAAAATTAGCCAGGTATGGTGGCGCATGCCTGTAGTCCCAGCTACTTGGGAGGCTGAAGCAGGAGAATTGCTTGAGCCCAGGAGTTTGAGGTTGCTGTGAGCTAGGCTGACGCCACGGCACTCACTCTAGCCTGGACAACAAAGCGAGATTCTGTCTCAAAGATAGATAGATAGATAGATAATTAGCTCGCATAGACAGCTGCCACAGATTAGAACTATCCATCAAACAAGGTAGTGTGATAACTGAGCTCTTATTCACTTACAGTTCAATAAAGGGTTTTTATGCCCTTCTATAAATTAAGGGAAGGAGCTGTGTTAGATATATATTTTGTAGTGTACACTGGAAGTACTCAAAACTATTCATTCCATTTTAAAATAACCTTAAACATAGTTTTAGAACCATCTTACAAAATAGCATGAAATTTTATTCTTTGATATTCTAAATCTTTTTTTTGGTTTTTTTTCTTCCTAACATCAAGGCACTTAAAACACTAGAACTGTATCACTGAAACTTCCAGGTTAACAGAACACCCATGTTGGCTTTGCTGCCCAGAGAGCGCGCCTCGTATCTAACGAATGAGAAAAATACCTCCAGAATTCGCTCATCATCAATTTCGTTGAAGACTGTGCCATTGATCTGATTGGGCTTCAGAGCAACCCAGTTAAACACTGGCATTCTGAACTTCGTCTTGATTGGCTTCTTAATTTTCACAGCTAAAGATGTCAGAGAGAATGAAATTAAGATCCTACCAAAGGCCCATGACCGTCAGGAGCAATCAGACAACAGTCCTTGAGGATGACACTTTAACACTGGAGGAAGGCTGGCAAGGGGGCCCCCGGTTTTTTTCAATTTTGGAAATTTTCCGGCCGGGGCTTTGGCCGGGGCCTTTTGGGTTCCCCTTTTTTTTGTTTGTTCCACCCTTTTTTTAAAGGTTGTTAAAGGCCAGGGTTTGTTTTTTTTTTTTTTAATACTTCAGGCTACTGGATTGCTGCATTACAGTTATAATATTTGGACAATGCTTAGGACAAATAAAGTGCTGGAGAGCAAATATTATTATTCATGTTATTAGACAGCAGAGAGGGCAAATACTGTCAAATTTTGACAACCTGAATTCTCGGTTCTGGATCACATAATTTGCCAACAATCCTTAAATACAATCAGAGACTGCAGGTAGTGGCTGTGTAAACCAGCAGAAATGTAACAACAAGAAGGCTGACTTTTAGCCCGGGCAGTGCATTCCTAGTGGGTGATTTCGATAATGGAGATTGTATCAGCTGCTGACTTATTTCAAACAGACTAAGGGTCATAAGTGGCCTGAACAACAAAATGTTTATGCTGACAGAAGGGTACTCAGAAATCAAGAAATTGTATTGCTCCTCCAGAATCAACACAATTCCTTCCTCCACTTTTCAAAAATCAAGTTCTCCCTATGAGTCAGTTGTATTTGACTAAGAGGTGTCAATACATAAGAATACTGAAAGCCTCTTAATAGAGAGGATGGGATCTATCTTCTGGAAGCTGAGGGCCAACGCCTCCTATTTTGGGAAAATGAGAAGATAATCCATTTAAAATTCTATTATTCTACATCATAAAGAAGTCTTCCCAAACTATTTAGCTACATACTTTCACCTTCATCAGCCTGTCCTGGGTAGCACACCACACCACTTGGGAGCTTCGCTAGTTGCCATTGTTAGAAAGGGAGGGAGGGAGAACTTCAGCGCTTCGGTGCAGAACAAAATAAAAGCAACACATGACTGAGCATTTATCTGGCTGGCTGCGTGGCTGGCTGCCTGCCTCAGTTGGCGTTAACTAAGAAAGGGAGACAGACGGTGCCTCTCGTTCCTCCAGAGTTATGAAGGCCATTTAAACAGCAGGGATGTCATCTGATAAATCCACACAAAAGCATGCAGGAACACAGAGACACAGCCTTTGCCAAACCAGGGCTCTCCGCCACCAAACATGACACCTTTGTCCCCACTGCCCCAGTGTCGGATTCTCTGCCACACAGTGTTTTTTTCCATACTAACCAGGGAAACTGATGCCCTCCATGGGATGAAGGAACAGACCTTCCTCTAGTCTGGCACTTCTGCAAATTTTGGGGGTGGGGGAGAGGACATGGAGGGTTTTTTTTTTTCATAATCTGAGGTCACTGATTGGTGCCACTGGCTTCCTACCTTCCCTCCAGGGGAAGGACGGGTAGCTAGAAGTCATACCGTTTGCAGCCACCCTTCTTCTAACTCTTTGGGGCAAGGTGAGGAATAAGCCCAAGAGCAGAACCCAGGCCAGAAAGTTCTCCTCCTTGAAAAGGTTTTGCTGACTCTGCCTATGGTATGGACGGGTAGGGAAGAGGAGGAGGGCACACAGGTGACCACCTCACACGCTGCATCCCCAGGCGGGTGGGTTCTCCATGGGGTGAGCCAGACACCAGTGGGAAGGGACTGGAAAAGGGGCACTCAACAGCTTTTGTTTGTTCTTTTTTCCCTAGAATAGATCTAAAATCCTCCTAGAGTTGAAGCCTTAGACCCAACTATGAAAATTAAGCTAAAAGGAAAAAAAATTCTTTTTCTCAGCAGTAATGGAACATGGTATATGAATCCAAGATGTATGCTTAAAGGACAATAATCTCTTCTTCGGTTCAACTAGAACGCGTGGGCAAACCCGCAGTAACAGCGAGCCAACACCAGGACTCCCCACAGACACAAAGTCAAAATGCAATGGATCAAATTCAAATGGAGTGGCAAGATGTGGAGGCACAGTATGACCCACGGGAACACATGGCAAACACTCAGCACACTCAGTGAGGAGCAACCTACAGAAAAGCTTGATTGGCCCATCTTTTGTGGAAGCAGAAAGAATAGAGAAAATACAAAAAAAAAAAAAATTAGATATGGTTAGAGTCAAGTGGCTCAGCAGTTCACACACTCTTAGCATAGAATTTCATGCTTCTTGGACACATTTCATAAGGCAGCATGGAGCCAAACATTTATTTCCCTTTAAGCCTGCCTTGAAGACTCACTTATTATTTTGTTTTAAAAAGCATCCTCTATTAGAAGAGGAAAAGGGAAAAAAAAAATTCATTGTAGTGGTCCCAAACTGCCATACTAAACTGTGCTGGGTATTCCATAGGACATGAATAACTTTTTTAATAAAAAAAAAATAATCAGCCAGAACCCCAAATCTCATTGTAAAGATCCCAACACATCCTCCCAAAGAGACAGCAAAGGTCACAGGCTGCCCAGCAGTCCATCTCAGGTGACCTATTCCAGAAAAGGGAGCCTGAATGTTCTCCCACAGATTTGAGGAAGCAGGTCTCATGCTTCAAATGTATATTTCACACTACTAATATTTTCTCTATAGAATGCAAAGAAAACTCTCAACTAGATAAACTATGGGGACCTCCTCCTAGTCCCTGTCCTGGCCACCAAGAACACACTTGCTCATTGTCTATTGAAGAGATAAGACATCTTGTTGCCTATGGACCCAGAGATCTCATGATGTCACAGATTTCTGACTTCCCGGGAGCCCTCAATGTATCAGCTCAGTTCTGTCTCTTGGTTCTACTGGGACATCCTGATTCTGTCTGGCCTCTTGTTCCGAGAGAGAGGGAGGAGTGACTGAACACACTGGCAAAACATCTCACAAAATGGGCTTCAGTCACTAAGTATTAACTGTCAAAATTAAGGATGAGTAAGAGAGACAGACTAAAGGCCTTGTAGAAATTGCCTGATCTCAAGCTATCGGAAACTTGTACAGATCTTATAATGCTCATATATCTTGTAAAACGAGATGTCTCTTGTAATCATTTAATGGACACTTATGGAACTAAAAAGGAGTTTCTTCAATCCCATGTACAGTCCTCTAAATGGCGTGAGACACAGCAGGGACACCTTCCAACTCTGCAGGCAGCAGTTGGTTATCAGCTAAGCACAGCGCTCCACACCTCAAAACTGAGGCAATCAATAGAGCCAAGAAATTTTAATAATTAAACAGTAGCAAAAGCCCAAGCAAAAATAAATAAATAAATGAATAAAAACAAATAGATCAACCAGACAGGACACGCCCTTCAGAAAAAAGCCCTGGGCATGGTCCACCGTTGGCCCGTTGGCCCTTCCACTCTCCCAGCGCCGTTCTGAGTTCTACGTCTCGCTCAGGGCAACGGAAGTGGGCACTGAATCACACGTTAGCTTCTGTCAGAGAGAAAGGAGGCAGCGCCAAATGAGACACTGCAGCAGACACACCCCGCGGTGCGTGCTCCTTGGGGCTACCCTGAAAGCCAGACCAGGGAGCCCAGGTGCATGTGACAAGTACAGGTTTCCACACTCGGTGGCCGAGAACAGCCTGGTGATGGAACAGACTCTCTGGGCTCGTCATGAGGTTTCGTTTGTCTGTTTACATTTCATGATCCAGCCGGCCAGGCACAGCGGCGCACACCTGTAATCCTAGGACTCTTGGAGGCTGAGGCAGGAGGATCATTTGAGCTCAGGAGTTCAGAACCACCCTGAGCAAGAGCAACAGCAAGACCTCGTTTCTGCTAAAAACAGGAAAATTAGCCGGGTGTGGTGGCGCATGCCTGTAGTCCCAGCTACTCATGAGGCTGAGCAGGAGGATTGCTTGAGCCCAGGAGTTTGACGTTGCAGTGAGCTATGATGATGCCACTGCACTCTAGCCAGGGCAACAGAGACTCTGTCTCAAGGGGCGGGGTGGGGGTGGGGTTGAACCCCTCTCCTCATTCCCTTTAACAAAAATGTAAAAAACAAACCCAAAAATACATTTCATGATCCAAGAATTCCACTATGATTCTTCTCCAACTTTTCTCCTTCAGAAGCAATAAAATTCTAGAAGAAACTGGTAGACAGGGAAGATCATGGAGGGTAGCAATAAGCCACTGATTTACTGTGAAAGTTACTCTGCACTGGCATCTTGTTTGTTTCCTTGATAGTTTTATAGACGTTGACATGGAAGTAAAACCATGGATTTGATGTGGAACAAATCTATTATGGGTAGCTTTGGGGGGCCTGAAAGGGCTCCAGTCACTAGGTTAGCCCTAATGGCTGGCTGGTACAGCTGCTGATGGGACCGGACCCTGGAAAGCAGGGAGACTGGGAAAGTTTTACGGCCAAGATTGTCTTTTAGACTTTGAGTAAAAATCTCTGAAAACTATTGTAGCCTAGGGAATGGAGGCTATTGGAATGGTACCTCTTCACCGGAAAAACAAGGGGCTTCATGAGAGAACGAGGCAGAATATCCCATGTCCCAGGGATGGCAAAGTGAGGGGCAATTCCAAAGGCCAGGGAAACACGTCACGACTGGAAAAACGGCTTGTGGTATCATAGAAAGGAGTACAAATCCATTTCTGTGAGTCAAAACTAAGAACAGCTATTTCAAGGCATTAGAGCAACTCTCCTCCTCTCACCCTACCCCTCACCCCTTGTTTGATTTCTGGTGTGGTGAGGATGCCACACCCCATCTCCTCATTAGCAAGAGGACAGCATGAATTATTTGGAGGCATTTCAAAGCATGGGAATACTGCTATTGGCAGCACTTACCCCTTGAAGCTTACATCCACTCTAGCAAATTCTGACATTCTCAGATGCTCAGGAGACATGCCTAGAAGCCTACATCAGGCAATCTTCTCTTTTTATAGATGATGTCACAAATACCTTTTTTAAAACAAGAGCCAGAGGCACTCAATGTATGTGCTAATACAGAGCTTTGGCCACTACAGGTGTCCAGGAAGTATTTGCTGAACCCAAAAGAATGCACGTCTCTCAAGGAGAACTTTTGTCTCTTCCCTTGCCTAAGTGGGGCCAGTGAAAGGCAGGGAGCTGGTGTGAGAGATCGGAACCTCTCACTAGGGACAGCGTGACAATAGCTACCCAGAGAAACACACCTCCCGTGCGTGACAGTTTCCCCTGCACTGGCTACATTAGCAGGAATGTTCTTATACTAAGAAGAGATATACATGTCATTGCAAGAGACCTGGACTTTGATAGAATAGCTTTAACTCTCTGAGATAAGACAAATTTCTAACAGGAGTCCCTGTGTTTGAACTGTGTGCGCTTACCTGCTAATCCTGAGTTGAAAACCACCGTGGGTGAAGACGTTCCAGGCAGCGGGGGTGCCGAGGGAGGAGGGGGGGGTGGTACGGGAGGAGCAGGCACAGTCTCCTCTGCAGGGCCTGGGAGAGGCGGCGGTGGGGGCGGGGGAGGAGGGGGAGGCGGCGGGGGCGGGGGTGGTGGTGGCATAGGTGGTGTTACTGGACCATTTTGCACTGGCAAAGAGAAGAGAAACAAATGGGTTTTGAAAACAAGAGAATGGCTTTCCTGCAATATGGCATGTGCATATAAAGTAGCTGAAAACAAAACACCTAGAAGGACAGGATTGTTTTCAAAAACCATCAAACTTCCTCATCAACAAATGGAGAAAATATTTCAACATATGTGAAATGAAGATTTATAACCCTAATCTCAAAATGTTCAATAGTTCTTAAAATCAATAAGCAAAAGGACATGCCAACAAAAGCAGACAAAAGACACAAATGGACAACTGGTAAAAGAATAAATACAAATATCCAGAGACCACCTTAGTTATCCTACTAGGGGGCTTCTTACCTGCCTCAGGTGAGTCTGAAGACGGAGGCAGTGGTAGAGGAGGGGTCAAGGGTCCCGAGGAGGCAGCCCCTGTTACTGGTCCCCCAGAGTTACCCGCTCCTGATTCTGACCCTGTGGACAATGTTCCAGAAGCCACAACTGGCAGTATGGCGATGTCCCCATCCCCTTTCTTCTGAATTTTAATGGTCCCTTGTTTCTCCAGTTCGTGAATCTTTTTTTCCAGGGTAGACTGTCTTTGAATGGCTTCTTCTTTTTCTTTGACCATTTTTCTTAAGGTGTGAACTTGGGTATTTGCATCTTTGTAGATTTCCTGCAGAAAAAAAACAGCCCAAGGTCAAGAGTTTGTCTTCACATGATACTCATTACCATCAGATTGGCAAACCTAGGACAAAGTAAGTAAAAAAAAAAAAAAAAGAGAAAAAGGATACTCAAATACATGGTAATATTAGATGGAACTGAGCCAGAAGCTATAAAGCCCCATTAATTATTAATTGTATGCTAGTAATGCATGCAATATATTCCAGCAATTGTTATTGTTAACCAAGTTCTTTCCATTGAATAAATGCGGCTACCTCTATTTTCCCTGCAGGTGAAAAGAAATAGAGCAGAGATGAACCCAAAAGTTGGCTTTGGAATGTCCTGGGTGTGTTCTGGTGGTACAGCATGTTTTCCTTTCACTTATTTTAAAATTCATTTGTTCATTGAATATCCTAGATACACATATTAGCTAACAATAGACAAAAGGGCCCTAAATCAGACTTGGACAGAAGTCAGACTGGGATTTAAAAATCTGCAAGGCATGGAATAACCTACTCATGAGTAACCAGGAGCTGACCGCTCTCCAATGGCTCCTCTGGCCCTCACAATGCCCCCTTGACCAAGCTCAGGACAGCGATTGTTGTAACATTTTCCCTTTGGTAATGCAGTTAACAAAACAGGCCAAAGCTTCCCTCTCCTAATTACTTATTTATGTCTAGTTTTTAAGCAGGAAACAAAGAAGTTAACAATTTTCAATTCAAAGGCTGTCCTGGTTCTTTTTATAAGGGGCCCACAGAGGTTCTAGTGAAAGGATTTTATGGAACTGAACTTTCTTGCCGGGCCTTGTCCATGTGATCTCTCACCACAAACCTCCAGCAGGCAGGGAAACATTCTTCACACCCTGTCTATTATTAATAATCTAAGAGTCTGAACTTGAATTGAATCCATATGCTACAATTTTGTCTCGATGGCGTGCCAGGAAATAAATTTCTCAGACTTAACTGTAGGACACGTCAGAATACCAGGCAATACACACAGACATGATAACCATCACATAAAATGTGCCATTTCATTAACGGTGGGATAAAGGCAGGCCATTTGCCCAAAAGCCCTCCAGCACCTTGGTGTTTTTGTGTTCTGCACAATTCCAAGCACACGGATGGCACTCCATAAATACCTGACACATAAGGCAAAACAACACTAAGGCCAAATAGCTGCGATTATCTGCTAATAAAATGGATTGGTTTTGCTTTGCCTGCCCCCCTCCCCCACCCCTGTTTTTTTGGTGAATGCCATTAGGCCTAGCCAGTGTTGTGACTTCACTGTTTCCATAGCAACCACCAAATTTGGTTTTGAGTGGAAGGAAAGCAGAAAAATACAAAGAAGCCCAAGGCCTAATAATAATAAATAAGTGGCATGAATTAAATCCATGCTGTGTTTTTATTTCCAACCAAATGGGTGATCCACAGAATCGACTCAGCCTCCTCCAGATGGGAAAACATTGCTGCTCCCAAAATCTGTGATAAGGAAATGCTGAACCCCCCACCCCCATGTTTGATTGCACACACATGTGTATACATACCCTGCCTGTGTGTACTTTTCATTTGAGTATCACCTCTGAAATGGTTCCAATAAATATGCTGCATCAATGCATTCCTCTGAAATGAATGTATCCATGTTCAACTAGACTAAGCTGGAGCACATTCCCTGCCATGCCCATCTGGGGCGGCTGTCATCATCACACTTACTCGAACAACATCCAGCTCCTTGTTCCTCTGCATAAGCTGCTTTTCCAGTTCCACGATCTTGGACATAGCTTCATTTTCTGTGTCCTGCAGTTTCTCAGATAACTGTAAAATTTTGAAAAGGAAGCTGTGTCACGACACAGGATCATTCTGCTCGGGCCCTCAGTTCTCAGAAAGCATAGCTCAAAGATCATCAGGGGCCCGTGAGAGTCTTGCATGTGTTCTGCAAGTTGTTTTCTGGAAATGTTAATATTTATAATATGGTTCTGAATACATATTTGTTTCTACCAGGAATTAATAACTTATACGTGAGCCTTAATAAAATCCATATGTCAGCTCCTTAGTGTTTCAGCATACACGGTGTGTCTCCTTCCATTTCTGTGGGGGCTGGCCAGGGTTGAGAACAGTAAGGAGGGGGGAGGGGGTGTTTAACCCTCCCCCACCCAAAAAAGGGCCATCAGGCAAAAGCTTTTGAAAATTGTTGATCCAAAAAACTTGGTTCTGTCATTCAAAGGAGCCAGTTAAAAATATACTCACTGCTTGCAAATAATAAAAGTTATTTGGAGGGGAAGTTCAAATAAACAGGTGGCCTGCTATAAAAATGAATATATAAGTATAGTCATGCAATGCTTGCAAAGGCTACAAGAGAAAGACAGGGTCAGCCCTGTGTTAAGGAGTTATTTTTTTTGCATAAAGCTCTAAAATCAACCAACTTCTGATTTCTAACATCTCACTGAAAATGATCACAAGTGAAGGAAATCAGGGAGGCAAGATTTGCACTGATCAGGTGCGGAACATGATATGAATCTTTTAAGGGAAGAAGATATGCTGGGCCTATAACCTCTCTTTTTAAGCAGATGCCAACTAGGTCACTGCTGCACTGAAAGAGTGAGGGTTTCTGGCTCACCAACTTGGCCTAACCACAGCCGTGGTTCCTATTTCCTCAGTAATGGGAAGGTGAAGGAAATTAAGCACATGCAGTACTCTTTAAAAGATAATGTCAAAGAAAATAAATGGACTGTTCAAATAATATTCCTCTGAAAGGAGACAATTCATTCCACACTCAAGGAAAGTGCCAATCAGAATTCATCAAATGAACCCGGTCCTCACAATGCGTGGGTTTTTGAGAAGCACCATTCTTCTGTTCATTCTTTCAATATTGAAATATTTGTTTAACGAATGGACAAATGAACAACGTCTAAAGGGCTTTAGACTCATATTCAAATTGGTCTCTGGCAAGAAAAATTCCTCAAAGAGAAATGAGCCCCTGTCCTGATAGAGATCTGACATTATACCGAGAAGACATCCTTCTTCAAAGAACAGGATATATGGGAAAGTACACTGATTTCCTTGAAAATATCTATTGCTGAAATGAATCTATTTAGAATCTGAGTAACCGTAAGACAGGAATGTTCAGATGTGCAACCCAGAGACACCAGCTAATCCTGTCCATGGGCCTGTGTGGGCATACATGACAAGAAGGCTCATATTCAGAAGACAATTCTGTACCTCAAGCCAAATTCCCACATTTCACTTCCCCTTATTCTTGTAGGTAATGCCAAGCACCAAATTCCCCCTGCACCTGTAACTAAGATTGCTAGGCTGTGACTCAGCAGAAACTGAGAAGTGAGCTAAGGCAAGGCAATGAATTCCACTTGCTTTTATGTAACACACCTGCCTTCTTTGAAAGACCTTCTGCACCCAAAAAGGCTTCTGATAGCTCTCTAACCCAGGCTGCAGCTCATTCCTATACTCCAAAGCCTTCGATATACCATCATGAAAGCTAACATCAATTCTGCCTTGCACTCAGCTGAAACATAAGCAATTTTTCCTATTCTGAGATGTAGTTACATGAGAGATGTTTTCTTCCAGTTCTTCCACCCTCTCCAAGGCTGCATTCTTAGTTTCAGCATCTTCCAGCAGAGCTCCGACATCAAACACGTTGTCCAGGTACGCCTGAATCTGGACCTGCAGCTTGTCACTCTCCGTGTGTTTCAGCTTCTAAAAACCAGAATGTGAGAGAACGTGTTGTCAGCTTCCTGTGGAAAAGCAACATGATTTCCCAGAAGCCTACACGTTTTGTTTGTGCCAAACAGTCCAGCCTTTTCCAAGAGCAGGTTTAATGTATCATCTTCCTTCCTAAGAGTGACTGCCTAAGAGGGTGCCATTAGATTACTTTCCGGTGAATACCCTCTCCAAAACACACATTTCCCCCCTAACCCTTCCTGCTCTATCTAATTATATTCTGATCTAAAACATTTTGATACAGGGAAAATAAAGACAACAGAAAAATTAAAAGCAGCTTTGGAAGGGAACCATCGCCAGCAACAGAAAACTTGAGGGTGTCTGTCTAGTAGAAGAGATCAGAGTGGGTGGTATCCTGCCTGGTTAGTGATGGTGGTTCTAGTGGGAGGAGAGGTGGGGTGGAGTTAGGCAGGAGGTTGGGTAGAGTAGACACTGATAGTTTATACTTTGCCTTGGGGCTTATTATAGCAAAAATTGCTACAGCCCACCCCCCCACAATTTCCTCCCTAAGCCAATGTCCATTTGAAAAGCTCTCCTCAGTTCACTGTGCCCCAAACTAGGCATATTCTGGAGGGGTTCACAGTGACACTAGAGGCCAAATAAATCAGCAAACCTTCCCTATAAAAGTCATGGCTTTCCCTGGGGAACAGAGAATGGCTAGAATAACACCCGGCATGTAGATGATGCCAATAAACATTTATTGAACAAATCAATGGCTACTTACAAGGCTGGGTTTTTGAAAACTAAAGAAGCATATTTATATATCATATACTTATAATATTGCTCTTCTAACCACCTCTATCTATCAGGGTCCTGAACCAACATACCATGAAGTTAAAAAAAAAAGAAAATACCAGGTTTAAAAAAAAAAAAAAATCTTAAATTTTTAAGAGAAATTCCACTCTACATAAATTCTTAAGAAAATGGATCTTCTCCTAGGTCCAATCTGGAGTTCTACCATTTAGCTTGTTCTGAAGAGAGTATGTTCCATCTTAGGTTAGGAGTCAGAACTAAAACAGTTTATGATTAGGGAAAAGACGAGAAAAGATAATGGAGAAGAAACTTAATGGAATTTTTCACCAGCTTTACAATGAATAACACATATTCACTGACACATTACTATCCGTGCCATGCTAATCTGAAGCCCAAAACAAGCTCTGCCCAGACGTCACAAAACTGAAACCAGAACACCATTAGGAATCTAGACAGCCAATTTTTGTTCAAATACTGCTACTCTTGAAGCATAATGAGAATAGAGGATCTTTGATCTCAAAGCAGGAAAAAAAGCTTTCAATATAATCTGCCAATGACATCAGTGGGTCTGATAAATAGGAAAACAATTCAAATAACTCTTTAATGGAAATCTATTGTGCCTCTCCCTGAGTAGAGCTTTTAGGCAACACTGGGCCAGTCTATTCAAGTGAAGCCCAGCCAGTAGGGTAGCAAAGCCATCAGGCTGACAGTAACCAACTCTGTGATTCTGCCTCCTAATAAACTGAGGGTACAGTCTGTGCAGTCCCCCAACTTTATCCCTAATGAAGACATGCAGCTGAACTCTGGAGCTGTCCAAGGAAAATGCTTCTGTCTTCTTCATAAACTAGAAACAGCCTTGACATTAAAGTCAACAATTCTTGCCCTATCACTAGTGGTCTTCTAAATTCAACTGGACCATTCTCATACAAAAGGGAAATCAAAAACTGCCTGAGTGTCAGAGGATAAGGGCACGTCCTATGCACACACAGCTACCCAGGTCCATGTATGATTTTCACATCCACTTTCCACTTCCTAGCTGAAGAACTCAGGCTGAGCACTTTTGCAAGGGGGAAATAAAAACTTAAAAACTTCTCCCAAGAACTAAAAGTGGAACTTCTAAAGCCACAAACAGTTTAAGCAGAATTTAGCAGCTTTAGGAGGAAGCCTCTAGTGTCCTTTTCCTCATTACTTTTTTATGCTCTAAGCATTTACTCATCATTCTACAGCAGTTTGGGTTTGACTTTCCCTGCCCAGATGGGGTCCCCAGAGTAACCTGGAATGCAAATTACCCAACTGCCCAGATGAAGGACTCAATGAGACTTGATCCAGACAACACAGCTCAAAAGCAGAGGAAAGCTACAGCCAGGCTACAAGAGGTTATCTGACTCCTGTACTAAAAGACTGCAGGCAAAAGACAGCCTGAGAGGCCAGGAGGGCTGCAAGAATCCAGCTTCTCTGACAGATTGTCTCTCTTAGATTGGCTCCCTTGAACTAGCACGACAGTAGTTGATTGCACAGAGCTTTAAGTGTTCCCTAGCCACTACAGAAGTGCACCTTTGAGGGTAGGCAATAAATCAATTCTTATATTGAAGCCAAAGGCTACAGATATACTCACATCCAAGTATTCATCCAGGCCTAATTTGGTAAATTCATATTGGAGGTGAACTCTGAAATTCATGTCTTCTACTGAATGGACTACGATGTTAATAAACTGCATAGAGGCCACCTGAAATGAAATTGCCAAGGGGTTAGATGGGCTCCAAACTTTTTTCTCAGTTTAATCACAGACATGAGCTTTCAATTTCACAAATCTAAAGCTCACTTACTGATTTCCTTTTCCTTCATTTCATTGGGTCTTTAAAAATATTTTATAATTTTTTTTAAATTCAAAAATCAGAGGTACCACAATAAGATACACTTCACACCCATTAGGATGGCTATAACAAAAAAGAAATACAATAACGAGTGTTGGCAAGGATGTAGAGAAATTAAAACACTCATCCAGGCCGGGCGCTGTGGCTCACGCCTGTAATCCTAGCTCTTGGGAGGCCGAGGCGGGCGGATTGCTCAAGGTCAGGAGTTCAAAACCAGCCTGAGCGAGACCCCGTCTCTACTATAAATAGAAAGAAATTAATTGGCCAACTGATATATATATATAAAAAATTAGCCGGGCATGGTGGCGCATGCCTGTAGTCCCAGCTATCTGGGAGGCTGAGGCAGAAGGATCACTCGAGCCCAGGAGTTTGAGGTTGCTGTGAGCTAGGCTGACGCCACGGCACTCACTCTAGCCCGGGCAACAAAGCGAGACTCTGTCTCAAAAAAAAAAAAAAAAAAAAAAAAAAAAAAAAAAAAAAAAAAAAAAACACTCATCCATTGCTAGTGGGAATGTAAAATGGTGGAGCCACTTTGAAAAATGTGACAGGTCCTCAAAATGTTAAACACAGAGTTACATATGACCCAGTAATTCCACTCCTAGGTATATAGCTAACAGAAACAAAAATATATGTCCGTGTAAAAATTTGTACACAAATGTTTATAATAGCACAATTCATAACAACCAAAAAGAGGAAAGAAACCAATGTCCATCAAGTGATGCATAAATGAAATGTGGTATATATCCATACAATGAAATATTATACGACAATAAAAAGGAATGAGGCATTGTTCATCCATGTTACAACATGAACTTGAAAACATCATGCTAAGTAAACAAAGCCAGTCACAAAGACTGTGTGTTATATGATCCATTCATATAAATATCCAGAAGAGTCTAGATAGGTAGAAAGTAGGTTAGTGGTTGCCTGGGGCTGAGGTGGGGTGAATGGGGAGTGACTGCTAATGGGTACGGGGTTTCTTTTGGGAGTGACAAAATGTTGTAAATTAGACCGTGGTAATGGTTGCACAACCCTGTGAACATACTAAACAGCCACTGAATTATAAACTTTAAATGGGTAAATTAAATGATATATTAATTATATCCCTGTAAAGCTGCTCTTAAAAAGCCATACAGGTATACAGAACAAACTGCAAATTACTACAGCCATGCTGTACAAATGCAAAATTTATTACAAAGAACATTTAAATCACCTATAATCTCATCACAATGTGAGCACTTCTAAAAAGTGCGGTTTGCTCTCCCATACAAACAGGACAGTAACATTTGCCCCATCTTTCCATACAATCATGATGTATTGGTCCATGATTTACTGCTTTCTCCCGACAACTGCATCGGGGGCCTGAGACCTGCCACAGAGAAAACCAGTCCCCAGTCTGGCAAAGACAGAACACAGTTCAACAGATCTCTTTTGCTTTCATTAGTGACAGTCAATCTGTTTATAGTGAAAGTGTCTTTCTAATGCGTCCCCTCTGCAGCTGTGACCCAGCAGGGGCTCTGGCAAGGAGGCAAAATGGACGAGGGACCCAGATTCACACTTAATCTGAGAAACGCCCTACTCTTCCACTCTCCCCAAACCCAATTTCCTTTATCGCTTTTTTTTTTTTTTTTTTTTTTTTTTGAGACAGAGTCTCACTCTGTTGCGCAGGCTAGAGTGAGTGCTGTGGCATCAGCCTAGCTCACAGCAACCTCAAACTCCTGGGCTCAAGCGATTTCTTCTGCTTCAGCCTCCCGAGTAGCTGGGACTACAGGCATGCGCCACCATGCCCGGCTGATTTTTTCTATATATATCAGTTGGCCAATTAATTTCTTTCTATTTATAGTAGAGACAGGGTCTCACTCTTGCTCAGGCTGGTTTCGAACTCCTGACCTCAAGCAATCCGCCTGCCTCGGCCTCCCAGAGTGCTAGAATTACAGGCGTGAGCCACTGCACCCAGCCCCTTCATCGCTTTTAAAATTGTCTTTATCAAGTTTAAATATCGTTCTTTGAATATGTTATGCACTGGATATCTTGGGAAAATGTGCAAACGGTCTAGCTTATAACTGGACCCTATTGCAATTTACTAAAAATTACTTCAGGTTCCACAGTTAAATGAGCTAAAAAATATATATATAGTCAGTTTTTGTGTTTTCTTTTTGCCTACCAAAAATACGGAAAAAGAAGGAAAATTTCATATAGTACATGAGAGGAATTTATATAACGAGTAAGTTGTTTAGGTTGTGCCACCTAACTGCATTCCCAAGGCAGTTTATCAAAAGCCTCATTTTCTGGGGGGAAAATATGGTTGAATTCTGGCTCTTTCCATTTCTCTTCTGAAAACAGGTCTAAATGATCTATTGAGTTTTAAGATATGCCTAAGAAGAAACTATTTGTAGGTGACACATGAATCCCCACATAGTACTTATGTGTACAAGCAGCCCCTAGATACGGTACCTCAAAGCATGTACATATGAATAAACGAACTGACAAGAAACGGGCTCTAGTTTGTATACAGATAGGGCAGGTGTTTTGAAGGGCTTAATATAATTTCAGCAGAAACTCAAATGGCAGGGATGTCTGGCAGGTATCATAAATGAATGCGGTGGGTGGGCCATGTGTGACACAACAGGGGATGGTGTGGACTGTGGCAAACTGGAGAGAGTATCTTTGCACTGAAGGACTAGGGGGCTACTTGGCTCCAGCAGCTGATACTCTGCAGGAACGGGGACCTAGCGTTATCAGACAGTTTTTAGTTTTTAAGAAAATTAGATATCTGTATTTTATGTACAATATCCAATTTTTTAAAATAGAAAATCATTCTATCAGACGAAATTCATAAGCCTATAGGTTGGCTTCAGCAGGGGAACATCCAGTCTGTAATCTCAGCTCTATCAAAATGAACAACTTCCCCTAACAAGGCACAGGAAAGAAACCGGTAATGTGAGCCAAGGCACAAGGTCTCTTTACGTATTTATCACGAGGGCCAGCATCAGCCTTAACTTCTCTAAAAAGTCCTAAAAACAAGAATGTTTAATAAAAAGGTCAGTGTAAAAGTATCCCTTGTTTTTACCTTTTCAAAAGCAAATAACAGGCTTTCTGGAACAGAAAAGTTTCTCTATAAAGGATTTCATCTTTCTCACTGATTTTGGAAGAGGTTCAAGGGTAGGATGCATATAAAATTGGAGGGCCCAGAAAAAAAAATTTCATATAAAAAGGTTTGAAATCTGTAGAGCTGTGTTTCATGGCTTTATAGTCACTGAAAGAATTCAAATGCAAACTTTCCATGGCATCCTAAGCACAGGCTTTGCGATGTAAGAACTGACTGGGATATCTGCTTCAGGCTAGGTGATGTTGGAGATTAAGCCCAGGTAAGGCTCTCTTGGGTGCAGAAGTTCCCTGGGGAACTGCATTAGGTCAGTGCCCGTAGATTTGTGCGCACTCAAGGGTATTATGTCTCAGGGAGTTCCCTAGGATAGATTCTATCTTCAACCCAGGATTAAGATTTAGGCATATGAATTTGGAAGTGCTGAAACTCATTTTGCTGTTCTTCTTACCTGAGGACAGGGCCCTGGAAACACATGTTCTTGCATGTGATCTAACCTGCTAGGGAGACCTGCAGTATGATTGTGCCCTCACAGAATTACTAAAGCAGGAAAGAGATCAAGGAGAAAAAGAAAAAAAAAATCACTGCTGCATATTAATTTGGGGGATATACACAGTCAATTCCATTATACAAACCAAAGCACTTTAATCTTCGAGAATATAGTCTAGAAAAGGGCACTGGGGTAGGGCCTGCAAAAATCAAAAAGGTCAACATTGCTGGTCAAGATTTCTTCCACTGTAGGGATTCTTATGCAGCATGATTGACAGCTCAAGTTGGCAACTGCAGGCATTTGCACCAGGCGCTAACTCCTTTTCCCAACTACATAGTTCCCCCTTTATTTGCTATAAATAATCAGTACCTCTGGCTTTTACAATAGCATATATATAATGAATAAAACTGGAAATCAATACCATAAAGAGAAAATACAGATTAAGATGGACATTCTAGATTGGAACTATGGCATATTAAACTCAATCTCTTGTCCTTGGTAGTGTGCGTGTGTGTATGTATTTAGGAAAAAAGTGCTGAAATTGAGTTTCCTTTATTGAATGTAATACCAAAATAACTCACCATAAAATCTATGTTATTGTCTTCATTCCTGAAATTTTCCATCAGCTTCTCAAAGCGCTGTTTTTCTCCGCAAACCTGAAACACACATTTTCATTGTGCATGTGACTTTCTAAACATAAGCATTCTAAAATTAGATGCAGAAATCTCAGCTTAATAATTATTTCCAGAATATCTTTTTCCTCTATCATACACTATTTACTTCTCTTCTAAAGCTAGTTAACTCACAAATAGCAACATGAGCCAAGACCAAAAGCTGATCTTTGGTTTCTTTTGCATATTCTCTTGATATTTTGAAATCCATTATCAAATGTGTTTTTCTTTCACTGGTTATCTCTGCAGCATGCATTCAGAATCCAAGAATGTAGTTTATGACATAAAAAAACTGACCACAGTTTTCCTTTTGTAGAAAGGAAAAACTGACATGCAAAAACAGTTGAATAATTTAATATTTAAATTACTTGAAAGGTAGATTTAAAAGGTTCATATTATGTCTAACTGAATCAAAAAATTTCAGTGCATAAACTACAGCACAGAAGTAGACACTGTGGGAAGCTATATTAACGCATTTAAGGTGAGCAGAGAAATTTGCAGTAATTTATGAAGTAGCATCTCAGAGGCCTGAAACACATGCATTCAGGTCAAATGAATGCTTTCATTGAACAGATGAAATAAACAGATAAAGTACCAGGTCCCCAAGGTATCTGCATATACATAGAATTAAATACATGGAGTTAAAAACAGAGTCAAAGATTCATACCAAATAATAACTCTTTAGGGATTTATTTTTAAAGTCAAAAGATGAACTTGAATTCTGTCAATGTCCTTAGCTACCTTTTTGTAGCAAAGTCCTATGCCCATTGGTTTAATTCATCCCACCTTCAGAAAATATTTCCCTGAACCACCTATAGACTACATGTGGTATGAGCAGAACGTAGTCCCTGGGTTAACATTTTGCAAATTTAATCCAGGTTTCAAATGCTAAACTCTAAATTTTCTGCCTCCATTTGTGATCTTAGGGATACTCAGACCAATCCTCAAGAATTCTTCTAAAATGGTATCTCAAAATACAGCCATTTAATTCAGTCATGCCAAATTCCACGTGAACATATATGTATTTTAGTGAAGAGAAAGTCCCAGGAAGGCAAGAATTGTGTCTGTTTTGTTCCCTGCTACGTCCTTAGCATCTACATCAATGCTCAGCACATTGCAGGTTCTCAATCATATTTGTTGGAAATGTTGAAGTGATCAGCCTTCAACCTCTGAGGGCCTCCTAGTCTTCAAGCAACTTAATATTTCCAACAGATTCAGACCACAGTCACTGTATTCTCATGACTACTCTCCATTTATTTACACCAGTCTTAACAGAAAATAATTTCAGAAGGCAGGGGAACAGTGCATGGGCCCTGTCTGGGGGAAGCAGGGCAGGAGAGTCTACAATAAGGCCTTTAAAACACACCAGTCCAACCCCACCCTAGAGTGTCTCAGTAGGCCCAGGCAGGGCTGCCGTGAATGGACACACATAATTTTAAAAGCACTACAGATCATTCTGATGCTCCACAAAGGCCAAGAACAGAGACCTAAGGGGATGCCATGTTCTGCCTCTGCCCTCAGCCAGCCCCCTAGAGAATATACAGCATGTTCCTGGAAATGAAAGGTTTTGGGAAGGGGTGAGGCAGTGCGGGCCCATGACATCAGTCACATCTTGTGGCTTGTTCCCACAAGGGACAAACACCCCTGGCCTGCAAAGAGGGCCCTGTGGGTGAAAAAATGCAAAGGCTCTGCATAAAAAAAGGTCTAAATTACAACCTGGACTTTCTTTAGCAGAAATTCCAATATAAGAACTTGTTTCCCAAGAGAATGGTCTCCCCCTTCAATCTTGTTTTAGGCGGTTGTTAGTGGCAGAAGGAGAAAAGGAAGAGAACCCACCTTGGACCTGGGGACAGCTACCAACCCATCCTGAGAAGCAGAGTGTGACTAACACTCTGGTAAGTGGCTAGGCACTCGCTAAACTGAAAGAGGCAACAGCTACTGATGAACAAGGATGACCAACACAATTCCTAGGCAGGCAAAGCTCTTCATAATCAAAGCTAAAAAATACCTTGGATAACTTGATGCCCTCACTTTAAGAATGAGACTGACATTCAAACAGATTAAATATCTCTGACTTGATGAAAGGTTGACACAAGAGTGGCAGAACCAAGGCTAGAACCAACAGCCAGCCTGACATTCCCTCTCCCACAAAGCCCAGAATGTCCAGATAAACATATTCCATTTAAGGAGAGAGTTCAGGTATTCCAGCATTATGTGAGATACCACAGAGATGAACGTTATTAAAATTACAACCATTATATCATGCATATACTTTGCATCCATGCACCAGAATTGTCCATGGTACCTCTAAAACTGGCCAATTCCTGGGATCTATATTGAGACACACTAAATGAGAATCTCCACAGATGGGGCTAGAAATCTGAGTACTCATGGTTGTTGTGGCAGCATTTGGGAACCAGTGGCTTAAACAATAACAGACCAGCTGAATAAACCCTCAGCCTTTTTTGGCTACCAATTATGAAATGGTTTAACTAGATCAGTAACTCTCCAACTCATTCTACTTCCAATTGAGCAACACAAATAATGAAACAGATTAATAGTTACTATGATTGGGTATCACAAGAACGTAGCAGGACTTGGCTCACTGGCCCTGCATAGGTACAGTGTACAGTAAGATGACTCAAAATCAGGGACTGCATCCTGGTATTAGAGAAATGAGTTTTAAATGACTGGGAAAGCACATGTGGGCAGCAACAAAACAAACTTCTCATAGCTTGTTAATAAAAAGAGATGGCATCAAATCCAGAATGAGCAATACTAGATTAATTTCATGGTGAGTAAAGATCCAAAAAAAAAAAAAACACATTGTACTAGCCTGGTGGACAGGACTAAAACAGACACCAAGAAAAGCCTTGAATATATGTGTTTCTTTAGAAATCCCTCATTCTGTCAACAGACAAATCCATGCTGAGAACATGTGTGTTATGAAACAGAGAAATACCTTTAATCTTCAAACATAATGGACTTAAATATTTTATTTATAGCAGTGATGAATGGTGAAAAGAATCCAAAGGCACAAATAACAAGTTGAACACAGATGCTAGCTTTGGGAAAACCTTGAAAGAATCTGAGATGGCTCTTCTCAACCACTGTGAGGACTACAAGGACCCCTGCTATCAGCTCCACCAAGCCCCTCTATGTAAAGGTTTAGACTGCTTTGCTGCCATCTCGACTAATGAACTCTCAGCTAATGAATGCAGGGTGGTATTTTCTGACATTGCTCCATTAGAACAGCAGGGGTTCCAAAGCCCCTCTTCATTTCTTTTTTTTTTTTTTTTTTTTAGGCCCATTCTTGTACTTGTATCCTCTTCATTTCTGATGAAGGAAAGGAAGCACGCAAACCAGATTCCCATTTGTTTCTGTATTACTTTAGCAATCATTAAACAAGTGTATACTACAATCCCACAGGAAATGGGAGAGTATGTTTGGGGAAGAAGGTTGGTAAAAGCTGTGTCCCACATCAAAGGAAAGTCGTCTTATTCATACTGCTCACATCTGGACCACCCCCACACTCTTGGTTAAAATAAGACCATCGTGGTTGAACGTGCCTGTTCTCTCCTTTGAACTGGCCTCGTTTTAGAAAATTGGTGAGGATGAAAGGAACAAGATATTGATTTTCAGTTATTTTCAGAATCCATACCTTGCCCTTCATGGGAATGCTCTCAAGGGCTTCATGAAAACATATATAAGAGCCAGGAGCATATTTGCACATATGTATTATGCACGTTATATATCGCTGTGTATAACTTCCATCTGCCAGCAAAAGCCAGACAATGTATGATGTGAAAACTTTTAAATAAACGTTATACTATTGCAGCTGAAATGTATCATTCTTGACGTTTATATTCACCAGCATTTCTCATTCCCTCACCAGCTTTGACACCAATTTCCTACATCCATAATAAGTAGACAATGGGGTAGGTGGGGTGGGAAGCAAGTGGAAGAGCTACAGAAGGACAGACCAGAGCAGATTGGAAAAGAGCCTCTGTACACTGGACTACTCTATTGGGAATGAGACTTCCACTGCTACCGGCTAAGGCTAGCAGAAATTAACCCAGCAGACAAATAAAAAATATATGCACTAGAAAAGCATGTACTAGACTGTAAACTAAGAGGCATCTTCATTATAAATCATTTATAAAGCAGTCTCACAGGAATAAATTCACCAACCTGATTAACACCGTATAAAGTGAAAATCAGATTCCCATCCTGGCCCATGGACTCTGCTAACACATCCACACGTCTGCCCATGCTGCAGGTTCTAACACAACTGCTCTTCTCTGCACCTTTGCGCTCTAACACTGATAGGGGTGAGGGACTATGAGGGCAGAAATGGGGCTATTAAATGGGTATATTAAATGGTGTCCAAAACCAGCCTGAGCAAGAGCGAGACCCCGTCTCTACTATAAACAGAAAGAAATTAATTGGCCAACTGATATATATATGAAAAAAAATTAGCCGGGCATAGTGGCGCATGCCTGTAGTCCCAGCTACTCGGGAGGCTGAGGCAGAAGGATCACTCGAGCCCAGGAGTTTGAGGTTGCTGTGAGCTAGGCTGACGCCACGGCACTCACTCTAGCCTGGACAACAAAGTGAGACTCTGTCTCAAAAAAAAAAAAAAAAAAAAAATGGTGTCATAAAACCTGGGTTAAAAGTCACAGCTTGGCCACTACCCCTGCTGTTAGCTTGGAGAACTCAGAGAACATCCCTGGAATTCAATTTTCATATCCTTCAGTTTGACGGCCTTAGTTCACACTGCTGGTTTTCAAGCCATGTTTGAAGAAGCCATAATGGTTATAGAGCTTTGGGGGGGGGAGGCTCCAAAAGTCAAGGGCTTGGCAGGGAAAAGGAAAGCACAAATAAGTAAGGTTCTCGGGACTTCCCCTCTCACTTATTCCGATCTGCTTTCTCATACTCAGTTGTCAGATAAGCTTTCTTCAGAGTATTAAAAAAAAAGTTATATT